ACAAAACGATTAAATGTTACGAAAAAAAAACTCCTATAATAGAATTAAAAAATTGATTTCTTTATTAGGGTAAAGTGACCTATTGTGAACACAGTGAAAAAGAGGACCTATTGTGAACACACCTAATTTCGAATGCAGTTTTCTTCGCTATTTTGCATTTTCATGGCTCAAAACTTTTCAAATATGTAGAGTAAACAGTCCCAAGTACTTTTCTGAAAAGTTTTGAGCCATAAAAATGCAAAATAGCGAAGAAAACTGCATTCGAAATTAGGTGTGTTTACAATAGGTCCTCTTTTTCACTGTGTTCACAATAGGTCACTTTACCCTATAACCTTTATAATAATCATAACATTCTTAAAGTATGAATAATATTTTGCTAGTTTTAAAGTCTTAAAACTCTTAGTTTAAAAATGTCTGTCTGTCCAAATTTTTTCGCATCTTTGGACATGTCAATGTCAGTCAGTCAGTCAGTCAGTCAAATCACAACTCTTAGAGAACCCGAAATTAATATTTTATAATGAGCGGGTCCAAGAGAAGCGGGTCCAAGAGAAGCGGGTCCAAGAGAAGCGGGTCCAAGAGAAGCGGGTCCAAGCGGGTCCTTAGCTTGTGTTTGAATTGGCTCCATGGACCGTAGTCATGGAAATTATTTGCCAAAACACCTTCAGAATCATCATCATCTTCTTCTTCTTCTTTAAAAGAAACGTTTTCTTCTTTTTCAACCATCAAAATATCATCTTCTTCTTCATCATGAATTAAATCATCTTGTTCTTCTTGATCAAAAGAAGATAATTTTTGATATTCGACTTTTTCAAAGTCGACTTTGAAGCAGTGATATTTTAAAATATTTTTTATTTTCAATGGATTGTTACTGCAAATATACTCCAATCCAATATCTGCATTTATTTTCTTGATCTCGTCGTCGGTGATCAGCTTCAGGGCGACTTTTGAATGCGGGGAGATGGCTGCAACAAAAGCTTCAGCATCTAAAATAGTTTCACCTCCCTTGGATTTATTGGTAGCAGCAAGCTTAAGGCCTCCACCAATTCCATCGGTAGCGCCTTTGCCATGCTGTGCAGCAAGATAATGCCAAATGATCTTTTTTCCATGTTCCTTCTGCAATGCTGGAATTAAAGCCATGGTGTACTTATTTTTAAATTGGCTTGGACTATTATCCGAGAAGATGTGGACAGTTGAGGCTGTAGTGGGGATCTCTTTGAATAATTTGTCGAGGCATGGAACAACCGTCTTCTTCGAGTGGTCACCCGAATCCAAAGCGACAGCCATTGATTTCTCTCCACGATGCCACATCATTGCTGTAAAAATTGAAACTTCCTTCTTGTTCGAATAGATCGCTTGCGTCGAGTCCTGGAGGAAGCATCTGTAGTTTCGAGCCCAATCCACTTGAAGAACGGCTGTTGTTGCGTTCTTAGATTTTGCTTGCAGGCAATATAACTCCAAGCAATCTGCCTGATTTCGCTTAACAAGCACATGAAGTAAAAATTTGACCTTCATTTCTTTGATGTGCTTGATCAGATCAGATTCGGTGCCAGTCTTCGTAAATTTTTCTACTTGTGAGAATATTCCTCCATCAGGTGCTTTTTGCCATTGCTCCCATTTCACCGATTTTGTGGCGTTCTCTGCGTTTTCCTGGAACTTCTCGAAGAACGCTGGTGAATGTTTACATTTGTAACATTTGTTGGAAAAACATGTTTCCTTATCGCCAACGCAAATAAAATTTTTGCTCATGTCAGATCCAATAACTACATCTTTGTATGTTGGATCGGCACGAGCTAACGCTTTCAGCGCAAATTTCATATTTGCATGGATGGAGCAAACACATGTGTTGCGTGGAGTTTTGGTTCTGAGTTTGACAAAACGTTTTGGTCTCAATTGATCTACAGTTGGATACAAACCTTTACTTGATTTCGCTTGAGGTAAAGGTTCAACATTGAAACCAAGTTTTTTACCCATTCCGAGAAATATTTCCTTTCTCATAGCTTCATCTTTAGGGAGTAAATTCACTTGAAAATTGATACGATTTACTCTTGCTTGTGCAGTTAGAAAGGATGACTGACTCGAAGCTACGTTGCTATTCTCGGCCTTCTTGCGTTCCCAACACTTTTTTTTTCTTTTTTTTTCGGCCTTCTTCACTTCATCATATTTCTCGGGATCGTTAACTTTTATGAAATCTCTTTTCTTTTTCTTCCGCAATCTATCCTTCTCCTTTTTAGCTTCATAGTCTTTTTGACGATAAGCTTTATTATATTCAGCATTCTTTCGTTTTCGTGCGGCATCCATATTAATGCTGATGGAGAATATGACTTTTCACGAACCCTGAAAGTTGAAAGTTTTTTTGTCAAGCAGCGTCAACTGTCATACTTCAGGTAAATTGAAATATCTTTATCGATTCCATGAATTTTATTATGAAAGTAAGCAATTCAATTCATAAATCGATAAAGTTATTTCAATTTGTCAATTAAATTACGAGTTAGATAGCGGCAATGGAAACAAATCAAAATCAAAGATATTTATTGATTAATCATTAAGATTGGAATAATTAGGTAACTAAAATTTAAAGTAGGACTTTGAAATATTTTTTATTTATGTTTGTGTTCCATTTTCCTGTCGTTTCAGTACATCAGCCAATGGAACTTTCACTGTACAAAAGCGATTCAATTGAGCGACGTGGAATTCAAAACATTTATCAACAAAATTAATTAAATTCTACTAAAAGTACATCATTTAGAATGGTCAGCGTGCTTCAATCAATTGACAGTGGTCACGAGGATTTAATTCATGGAGCTGAAATTGATTATTACGGCTTAAATCTTGCTACATGTTCATCTGATAACTGCATAAAAGTAAATACATTTTTTTTTATTAAAAATTACTTAATAATAAGCTTTATTTCAGATATTCGACATTAAAAATGGAGGTCAACGTCTTAAAGCTGATTTGAAAGGTCACGGAGGTCCAGTATGGCAAGTGGCTTGGGCACATCCAAAATTTGGAAACATTCTCGCTTCATGTAGTTACGACCGTAAAGTTATCATCTGGAAAGAAGTCAACGGCGAATGGACAAAATCGAATGAATATAGTAATCATGATTCATCGGTAAATAGCGTTGCTTTTGCACCACATGAATATGGTTTGATTCTTGCTTGTGGAAGTTCTGACGGTTCAATTTCCATTTTAACATTCAACACTGAATCTGGAAATTATGACTTCAAAAAGATCCCAAACGCTCACACAATTGGTTGTAATGCATTAAGCTGGTGTCCTTCAGCAGTTCCAGAAGCAGCCTTTGATCAAAGAGGCAAACAAAACCAACCAGCAACAAATGGAATTCCTTTACAAGTTAAACGATTCGTGTCTGGTGGTTGTGACAACACCGTGAAAATCTGGAAAGAAGATGGAGATCGTTGGGTCGAGGAACGTCGTTTAGATGTACATTCGGATTGGATCCGCGATGTTGCATGGGCCCCAAGCATCGGACTTCCATCATCTCGAATTGCAAGCTGTTCCCAAGATCGTCGCGTGATTATTTGGAGCACTGAAGACATGACAACATGGACACCGCATATTTTGAACACTTTCGATGATGTCGTGTGGAATGTCAGCTGGTCACTCACCGGAAATATTTTAGGAGTGTCTGGAGGAGATAACAAAATAAGTTTGTGGAAGGAAAATAACGACGGAATTTGGACATGCATAAGTCAGGATACTGAAAACGCTAAAGATGATCAGCGAGTGATGTGAAAAGCTCGTGTTTTTGAAATAATTAATTAAATATTTTATGCTGAATTCTACTCTAATACCCACGAACATTTTTTAATTTTCCAACAGTTTATAATAATTTCCAATAAAATCCTGATGATGGCCTGAAAAGAACTTCTCAATTAATTTTGTAACAAATCCCAACCCATCAATAAAATGTTAATTAAATTAAACATATAAATTTCACTTAATGTTTCATTTTTATTCCTCAGAAAAAATTGGTTTTTACAGTAATCATTATTTAACCACTAATTTCTTCACGAACAATTGTTGTTAATGTAATACTTTGTTCTCGATTGAATATTTATGTAAAAAAAGAAGTTGATAAGCCGAGAATTTCATTTTCACTCAGGAACAAGTTAAATTCATTCATTGTCACTTGTCTTTTAATTTTTCAAAATTTTCCAATTCAAAGTTTTGAATTTTACATACCAAAAATTTTCATTTAATGTTAAAAACTCCCTCAAGTCAAATTCGTAAAAGAAAAGTCATTGAAATATTATAAATGGAGGAAAACTAAATAAAAAGAAGAAAGAAACTTTCCCTTGACCATTTCAATTATTTCCGTTTAAAAGATCTCGTCAGCAGCTCTCATCGCACTTAAGTACATAAAAGTTTCTCAGCTTTTGATCATCTTGGAGCCTTAAAGATTATCCTTTTTACATAAGTTTTAGAAAGCATTAAAGTTTATTAATTAATATGTTTGTTTTATAGCATAAAAGCGAAAGAACTTTTTTTTACAGAAAGTTATGATGATGATTGTAGCAACGATTTCTCTTTCCGAGATTTTACCTTCAATCAGTTATTCTCACGATCCTATAATTAAAAGTATGAAATGACGATAATTAAGTAATTCAATTTGTCAACTCACCGTTGGATCACAATCAGCACAATGCCAACTATAGCCACGTTTTTTCGGAGTCTTCTTCAATGGTGGAATTAAACATGTGAAGTGATAATTCTTCTGACATTCATCACATCTTTATAAAAGAAAAATTAAGAAATTATTGAATTGAATTGTTATGTTTAATTTAAATTTACTTGACTAAATCCTGATTTGAACCTGGCGTTTGACAAACATCACAAATTTGACTTGGCAATGGCAAAGATTTATTAACTATCGCCGTATTTGAAACTGCTGTCGTTTCTCCTATCGGTGTTGATGAAGCTGATGCGGTAAAATGTGATGGTGCAATGACAGGTGATGAGATTCCTTTGTTTGGACTGATGTTGAGTAAAAGTCGAGCTTTCTTATCACCTTGACTTTCATTAGGTTTCTTTCGCTTTTTTGTGACTTTTCCATGACCATTTCCCATTGGAATTGGCGTTGACAATTGAGACTTTAATTTGAAAAAATTGAGTATAAACATTAGTTTAAGTTTTGTCCAAAGTTTATAAATAATTCTCACCTTCACATCATTACTTTCATGATTATTGACCAGACTTATATCCAAAGCACTATCACGTTCAAGCTTCACATTCCCACCAGCATTCGCAAATGACCACGTCTTATCATCACCAACTTGGACGAATTTTATCTTAATTCTCGGCTTTTCAGGTTCATCTTGATTGTTATCAGTCATCGTTGGTGCTTCGTTTAAATCATGATTCTTATGTTTATGCTTTCTTTTATGTTTCTTTGAACTCGATTGACGGTCACCAGAACTTGGTGAATGCGATCGATGTCTTTTATTTTTCTTTTGCTTTTTATGTTTATGACCTGAACTGCTACTCATCGTTGTTGATGTTCCACCATTCATCACAATATTATTGACAACATTCTCTTGTTTCACTTGTATGTCGTTGGGTGTGATGATTTCCTTTGGAAGTTCAACAACCGGTGCTGGATAAGGAATGCTATTAGGGATGTCAGCAATTGTACGAAATGGCTCAAGTGGACAAACTTTCTCCACCATGTCAATAAGCGTCGTCACCTCAGGTTTGGTTTCATCGTCATTTTGTTGCTTTTTCTTTTTCTGAAGTTTATTTGAAATTTGTGTTATTGATGGTTTCTCTTTGTTCTTGGGACGTTGGCGGCCTTTCTTCGTCATTGTCGTTGTTTCCAACTGAATTTTGTTTTCGAGTTCAGGAAGATCTTTCAAAGACGATGTGACAGTCTCAACTTGACCCACAGTCAAAATCTGTTCCTCTTGTTGTTCTGTTGTAAAGCTATTGAGATCTTTTTCATGAATTTCCATTGGAATTTTCTTTTTTATTATTTTCGCTTTTCTTCCACGCTTCTTCATGGAATTTCCATCATCATCAACCGTCGTTGTTTCAATTGGTGATGATGAACTCGTCGTTGGCACAGTTTCATTGACAAATGAAGCTTCTGTTTTAATATTTTCAACTTCACTTCCATTAATTTGTGTTGAACTTCTTCGATGATGAGATTCGTCACTTTTCCTCGACATTGACATCGATTTTTCACTTCCGAATGAATCACGTAATGGATCGGGAATAATTGGACCATCTTTGCTGTATCTTATACGTGACCGTCGCGGTCCTTTTGGAATGATAACATTCTCCGTTCCTGAATCATCTGATTTATCGCATTCAGAGCATTGCCATGCGTAAAGCTTTGATCGTTTCGGATGTCGTGTTAAAGGTGGATTTAAGCAACCCAAATGATAATACAAGTGACATGTATCACATTTTGCAAGTAAATGTTGATCCGTACACTTCTTACAAATTCCACACTCATTCATTAGCTCGTCATTACTAATGCATTGCGTACTCAATATTCTACCTGTATCGTCCTTTCTTAAACTGTTGAGAGGGAAGCCGACGCCCATTTTAAGAGCGGCAGCTGTTGGCACTGTCATGATTCGACTTGTTATTAATTGCGGTGGTGGTGTTGATGAAAGTGTTGGAACTGATGGTGATGGAATCATTTTTATTGCTGCTGGTGTTGGTGTCGTCACAAGAGGTGGTTTACCAATACTATCAACACTTGGTAACTGTTTACTTGGACATAATTCAATAATCGCACCATGCAACTGTTCAATTTGACTCATTAAATCTTTTTGATGTTCAATCACATCTTGATTGACTTTAATCGAATCGTCGTATTTAACACGCAAGATTTGCTGTTGACAAAGCAATGATTTGTTTGCTTCCATTTGTTTTGTAAGATTTGTTTTCATTTCTCCCATTCGAATGGAACGATCGAGATAATATCCAACAAATTCTGTACTGAAAGCGGGTGGAATGTGCCATTTCTTACGAATATCGGTGAGCGATGCGATCTAAAATTAAATCGAAAGTGATGAGTCATTGAAATGTGAAGGAATTAATAGGAAATTTACTTGAGCCTCTTGAAACTCGAGAGCAGTGGCATCGATTCCCATTAGTTCAGCCTTTTTCATGAGTTTCTTGCAAGCTGAAGCGCTTGTTGTGAGTAATCGCGGCATTTTTTGTGTTGGAACTGAAGAAATTAAGATTATTTTGAATAAGTTCAATCATTTTAATAAATTCACTCACCCCAAGGCTCAACACGAGTCAACTTATTCGATGTGTATTTAATTCGATGCTTCTTTAACTTTCTTTCGATTCTTTCTTGTTCCGGTGTCGGTTTTTCATTCTTACTTTGCTCAAGATCAGTCTGTCGTTTCTTCATTTGCATGAGGAGTGCATTATAATTTCGTTTACGATGTTTAATGAGAGCTTTATCTGAATGTTCTTTACAATGCGCATAAAATGGATCGGCTTGATCAACTTCTTCGTGATGAGCTTCTGATAGAAATCCTGCCTTTTGTGCGCTAAAGAATAAATAAAAGTTAACAAAAACATGATTTAAATCAAAGTTAAAGTTACCATGTAACATGAAAATATGTTTTACACATTCCAGCATCACAACCAATACAAACGCCGGTCCTAGCAAAGCGATCATCGTCACAAAGACTGCACATTTTAGCTCCCCATTTATTGTACTGCATTTCAAAGAGAGTCACCATGGAAAGTTGATCAACTTCACCGAAAGCAACGCCAGGGACGTAGAGAGCACACACCAGGTGAACCCATTTGCCGCAATCAGTTTCTTTGAAGATGCCGCCACGACTCGGGCAGAGCTCACAGTCTGGATCCTTAATGTTTGCTTTGCATGCATCACAAAACCATGGCTCGGTTGAACATGAGGATACTGTGCTTGATACGCTCACTGACTCACTTACGCCGTAGCATCCTTCATGAACTGTTATCTTGCACCCATCACATTCGACAATTTCATTGGAATCGTCACTTCGATCACCGAGACATGCACAGCAAACGAGGGTTGCGAGAAGTTTCGCTGTTGCTGGTGATGGCTCAAGAAGCTTTTCTGTTATATTTATTTGTATCGTTGAGCTTGTACTAGCTTGATTTTCATGATTTACATCATCGGCTTTGCTTTCACTGGGATCCGGTTCTTCATCGCTGGATTTTTCGTCAGACTCGTCCTCATCACTATTTTCGTCACTTTCTTCGGATGATTCAAAATCAGACTCTTCAGCATGATTCTCAATTCTAAACGATTCATCACTGCTGGTCTCAGCCGAGTCAAATTTTGATAAATCGACATCAAGAAATGCGCACAAGGCTGATTGTCGTTTGTTTGCCATCGATTTCAAATGATTTATGGAGCGATAATAATATAAGCAATGATTGAAGATTGTTTTAAAGCTACTTTTCTATTGATTGCTATTGTTTTATTTGAATTTTTAAGGGAATTTCTGTAATAAAAATCTTTTTTTGTTCCCTTATAAAAATTTTTTTGTGAGTAGTTTGATTTGTCACAAGGTAGTTAGTATATTTATTGTAGTATACTCAGGTAATTGCATAAAGGGTATACGAGTACAGCAAATATTTTTCAAATCCTGGGATTTTAACCGCGCTTTTAACAAATTTCTGACGAAATGCTTAAACCTTGGCTTAAACAATTCTTGTCATTTGATATTCTTTCCTTATCAATACGTTTATAAAAAAGTTAGATAAATATAAGGTAGCTTATAAGTTCTATAAGCTTTGTGTAACTTGTAGTTGAAAGTTCACCATGACTAAATCGAAAACAAATGAGAATCATCGTTCACCAAGAAAATCAAAACATTTAGGTGGGACTTGCAAAATATTTTGAATTGATTCTGATTTTAAGTTGAGTTTATTCTTTTAATTTTCACAGAGAAAGATATTCTAAGAAGATTTTATCGAGTTTTAAAGATTTTCAAAGATCGTGAAGATCCAAAAATGAACATATTTTTACCAAACTTCCATGAGTGTGACGCTAAAAATTCAGAAATTAACATTCCTCGTTTACACTGTCTGATGATGATTGAACGTAACTTGTTTTTAGGAAAATATACAAATCATCCTTGGAAGTTTATAAGAGATGTAAATTCTGTGTTCGAGTACAAAAAAAGTAAACATTCAAAGAGAACTAAAATTCACAACAGAGTTTTAGAGGTAAATATTAAATTAATTTGCATTTATTGATATCGTTTAACAATGAAGTTAGTATCAGGACATATTCTTTTCTCAAATGGATGTTTTAATGGAAGAAATGGGATACTGCTGTGGTCATTGGTATACACAAAAATCAAGGAAAATTGATTGTGGTGCTGCTAAAAATTGTTTTGTTTTGGACAATTCTTTCTATTATCGGTAAAAAAGAATTTTCATTACTTTAGTTTGATTATTTAAATACATTTTTTTCATTTAGTTACGAAGAGTACACATTCTGTCAAAAATGTTTCAGCAATGTCGATAAAAGTTTCATCGAATTAAATGAAACGTAAGTAGGAAAAATTTGTTATAAGAGCGAGCACTGGCATGAAATAATTTCGTTCGCCTCTCTTCTAGGAAAGTTGAAAAGTCATCTTTCGTTGAATTCTTTTATATCCCATCTAAAAATGAGGCATTTGTTCGTTGCAAAAGTTGTAGTCGAAAGTTTCACGAGATTTGTGTTCTTTTCAATCGTTTCTTTGGCCAGCAATTTATTTGTCGGAAATGCCGAAATATTGAAATCAAACCAAACCATCTTCGAGCTTCAAATTTACCTCCAACAGAATGTGACGTTTTTATCAACAATTTTCTTAAAAAATATGACGTTAATGACAACGACACGCTGACAATTCGTTTGTTAAGTGATATGGAAAAGAAGTTAAATGTCAAAGAGACTTTCTTAGGATATCGAAGTGGTCCGCGTAGTTATGCATATCGAAATTGCACTCTTTTTACATTCTGTGATACTGGTAATGAGTCTGACATTTGTTTCTTCTCGGTTATGTTTCAACTGTATGGCAATGATTGTCCCGAGCCTAATCGTAACATCGGCTACATAAGTTACATCGATTCCATTAATCTCATACCTTCAAAGAATCGAACGTTAATTTACCGATTAATTCTTCTTGGATTATTCGAATATTTAAAGACGAAAGGCTTCGATAGAATCATTTTATGGAGTTGTCCATCGGATCAAGATCATGACTACATTTTTTACATGAAACCAGCGAAAATGATCATGCCAACCAAGAAACGTCTCATTGATTGGTACAACAAACTTTTCTCACTTGGAATCGAATTAAATGTCATAAATTCATACACAGAAGTCATGGACTACGTTAAAGAAAAACAATGGAAGGGAATCAACGACATTCCATACTTATCTGGTGATCTTTGGGTTGTAAGAATGGAAGAAGCGATTGAAGACACTGAAAAGGAAAAGAACAAATTAATTAAAGAAATTTACGCGCTTCATAAACGAATGGAAGGTTTAATCAAGAAAGGTTCACAACGAAAAGTTTGTGACGCTCAAAATCGTTTTAATGCCAAACTTCAACAATTATCGGATTTCGATTGTCATGAAGAAGTTTGGAAATTAATGGAATATCAAATCAAAGCCTTTTCAAAAGAATATTTCATTTTAAATTTATCAGTGAATCGAAATGAGGTTGAGAAACTTCCACCACAGATTGATTATGAATGGATCAATAATCGTCACATGTTTGTTGATTATTTCTGGGAGCAAATGCTTGAATCTTCAGACGAAAGAAAAGCTCAATACACGACACTTGTCATGATGCATCGAATTTTCTTGGAAAGAAAAATTTGCATTGAGTGCAGAACGATTTTATGCGAAGGAATTTCTAGAGAATTACTGTGCAAACAATGTCACGAACAAAAATATAATTCTGAAGAAGTTCCTCCCGAATTAAAATGTGACGAAGTCTTAGAAGTTTCGTCAGAAAGCGATGAAGAAATTTTTTCGACTTCATCACTGGATTTAGCTTTATTTGAAGATCATGATGACAGTGCAATCGATTTATCCTTAAATTCTGAATCTACTGATAAGCCTGAAAGTTCAACGATCAATACAGCGAAAAGAACGCTAAATATTACCCAAAATTCAAACAATAAAGAACCAAAAAAGAATAAAATGACTAAAAGTTGCAAAAAAATTTCTGCAGTGAAACAAAATGCAATAAAATTTGAAAATCGGGAACATTTAAATCATCTTTTAGATGTCATTGAAATCGATCTAACAAGGGAACCAGAATGCAATCAAGATGAAAATGAAAACAAAGTTGATCGAAAATTTACAAAATCTTTGACAGCAATACAGAAACAAGACGAGTTTTGGAAGAATTGTGGAATAATTTCGTCATCAAATGTTTTACATTCCACTCAAAACAACACAAAAAAGACTTGTTGAAACAGTTCTCTTATAATGTTCAAAATAATAAAACGTAAATTAATAAAAATTTATTACAAATTTATTCATTGATCAGTTTCACTGTCAAATCCAATTTCATGGTCCAATTCTTCTTTACTAATTTTATTCTTTTTAAACTTTTTGATGGCAACAAAATCTTTGACGAGCTCATCGAGATCATCTTTTGTGTATTGGTTTTTTCTTTTCTTTGCAATCACTGAAACTCCGCTGGCTTTCATTTCATTGATTGACTTTTTCACTTCTTGCCGCTTCTTACGATTTTCTTTTTTAAATTCTCGTTTTTGCTTTGAGTCTGTCCAAGATTCATGTTTCTTCGTTATGATCTTCTTTCCAGGCCATTCTCCAGTTTTTTGATAAACTTCCTGCTTCTTACGATATGCTTGTTGCTTCTGCTTGTTCTTGTATTCAAGACTGTTGATGTCAACTTTGTTTTCCGGAGCAATAAACGTTTTGTGGAATTTTTCTTTCATTTCAGGCATTTTAGGAAGTCGCAAGAGTCCATAAGATGTCGCAACTTTTCCCAAATCAAGATCTTTAACCCTTAAAAGTAAACTGCAATCGTGTTTGCTGTAAGCTTTAACGTGCGACACGAAAGCTGTTGTTGCTTTATCAAAAATATTCTTGTCGCTCTGTTGAAGCTTGTGAATTTTAGAGTTAACAAATGAAAGATTTCCACTCCAAGATTCATCAACTTCAACTTTTTCCATTGTTACTTTTTGGTTTTTCGTTAGGAACTCAACATAAGCAGCTTCAGTTGGCAACAACATGATGAGTGCATTGCCTTCAGAACCTTGTCGCGCTGTTCTTCCTACACGATGAACGAAAGCAGAAGCATTTGATGGTGGATCCCATTGAATCACCCAATCTAACTCATTTATGTCGACACCTCTTGCCATCACATCGGTGCAAAGTAGAAAAACATTTGCAAATTCCCGAAATTTCTTGAGGATTTCTCCGCGTTTCTTTTTCATTTTACCATGAATTGAAAGAATTTTTAATGAATCCAAAAGGTTAGAAAAGATTTTTGACCAATATTCAACACAAGCACAAGTTGGAAGGAAAATTAAAGCTTTCTTAATCTCACGATCTTCAATGAATTTCATAAGAAAGTTTAATTTCTGTTCTGGTTCCACAATCATGTAAAAGTTTTTAAGTAATTTCGGAGTGTTGACATTTGCTTTCTCTTTAACATTTACAGATATTGGATTTCTGAGACCAGCTCGAAAGAAGTCAGACAACTCTTTCGTTTGTGTAGCTGAGAAAAGTCCGGTTCGTCTTTGTCGAGGTAAATAACTGAGAATTGAGTTGATTGCGACTTCAAAGCCTAAATCTAGTAGACGATCAGCTTCATCGAATATTAATAGTTCCTTTAAAATAAGAAAATATTTTTAAAAGTTCTAACAAATAAAAATTCTTTTCCATACCAAACTCTTCACTCTTCCAGCGAGTTTTAAGTTGTCATTTCGTTCTAATAAATCCAACAATCTTCCCGGCGTACAAATGATAATATGAGCTCCATCATTTTCTAGATTTTTCACATCATCATCGACACTTGTTCCACCTACCAAAAGCTTCTGTGTGAATAAACTTAAATTTTTATTCTCGAGAAATTTTTGAAGAACTTCGCCCGTTTGTGTCGCCAACTCTCGTGTTGGAGAAATGACGATTGATCCAACTTCATTCTTTCGCCATGACTCATTTCGATGTCTTTTGAGAAGAAGTTCTAACATTGGAGTGATGAAAGCTAAAGTTTTTCCCGATCCAGTTACAGCTTCAACAGCAACATCTTTACATGATAAAAGTAGCGGAATCGTTGCGCTCTAAAGGTTAAAAATTGTATAATTTATGAACAGAATATATTCATTATCATTTACCTGTACTGGCGTCATTATTTTAAACTTAAAAACATTCTGAACTACTTCCAGAATTGGTTCCGAAAGCGGTTTTTCTAAATTTTTCCATTTGAGTCTGCTCATCACGTTTTGTTTTTATTTACATTTGCAGTTCAGCGGAATATTCAGCAGTAAGTTTTGTTATTCAGCGTAACGAAATGTGTGATAATGTTAGTGATAAACATTTGTTTTACTGCTCACCCCTTAACACAAAAGCGTGTGACTACCAAGCGGACCGAATTCAGTTTTTGTAAAAGATTTTACAAAAACATTTCGTCAATAATGGATGAAAATCAATTGTGTTTCTTTGAAGAAAGTAGAATAAATTGCAGTGAGTAAAACACTTTATAATTTATATCTTTATTCGCAAAATTGATTCATTTGTTTTTAGATTATGACGAAAATGATTTCTTCACAAGAATTTACAACGGAAGGTGGCAGGAAATTTTACAAACTGAAGAATTTAAAGCATTTCTCTCAACCGGAAATGAAAGCTTCACTAAAGATCAAAAACTCGCAGTAGCAATTGCTTGTCTTCTGGCTTTTACTCAACATAACTTTACTGGTCCTGATCTTAACACGTTGGAAACATTTCGATTTGAAACGATTTGGAACATTGACAGGATTTCAGTGGATGGCATTGAAATTAATACAAATATTGAACATGTTTTGTTGCTTTTTATCAGTCAAAACATCCTTGAAGACCTGTCCTGTCAATTTCCATCAGACATTGTAAGTTGTGCCACTTGTTGATAATATTTTTATTCAAACTTAAATTAATGTTCACAGGTAATAAAAATTTGGAACCTTCGTTTAATAAAAGTCTTTCAACGATCATTAGATGAAGATTCTGTATCTATTTACGATAAATTACTTAAAATTCATCAAGAACTATCATTGGAAAAACTTAATGAGATAAAAAACGAGCGATTTCGATTTCTTGTGCAACTTGAAGTTATTTCAATATTTTTAATGTATCGTCGTGTGAATAAAGTTGCTGATCTATTGAAGGAAGTTAAAGAGATTTATAAAATCGAAATGATTGAGCAAGGAGTGCTTGGAATGAGAACGAAATGGCAACAGAAAGCACTTCCACAGTTTCACGTTTCAATTGAACAGAATAATGCAGACATGGAATTGGCATCAGAAATAACTCATCGAGAAACTGCATTGATAGAATTACTAAAGCACAACGATGATACACTTTTGGAAACGATGATGTCAGTTGACTCCGATTACAGAAATCCATCACAAGTTTCATCTTCCATTCAGAATTTTGTTCTTATCACTGCTCGACATTTAGAAATTTCACAACCTAAAGATAAACTTGCCAATGAAATGATTGAGCCATATTTGAGGATTTTATTAGCGCAAAAGAACGGTCCATGGATGATTCGATTAGACGCACTTCTTATGAACATCAAAATTGATGCAAATCATCGACGAACTGTTGAACGAAGTTTACAGCAATGTGAAGACATCGTGATGAAAATAAAAGAAAAAGAAGGACAAGCTCAACCAATTCAGAGATTTTCTTATGTTTTCTCAAGTCTCATGATTCCTCGTCATAAGATTGAAGCTCAGCTTGCAAGTTTAATGATCAGCCTTGGCTTAATTAAAGGCGCTCTTGACGTTTATCTTCGTATTCAACATTGGGAAGAAGTCATCGACTGTTACACTCGACTTGAACTTCGTCATAAAGCAGCTGAAATCATTCAACAAGAACTTGAAAAGCTTCCAACAGTGAAACTTTACTGTTTGCTTGGCGATGCCACAGACGACGTGAAATGCTATGAGAAAGCTTGGGAATTCTCTAACCATCGAAGTGGTTTAGCTCAACGTTATTGGGGCAATTATTTCTTTGCGAAACATGAATATGCAGAAGCAATTCCACATCTTCAAAAATCTTTAGAAATTAATTCCCTGCAAGAGACTCTTTGGATGAGACTTGGTTACGCTGCTTTAGATGTGGAGAATTATGAACTCGCAGCAAGTGCTTACGTTCGTTACACACAACTTGAACCAGATGGATTTGAAGCATGGAATAATCTTGCGAAATGTTACATCAAATTGGGAAACAAACAACGAGCACATAAAATATTTCAAGAATCATTGAAATGTAACTTTGACAATTGGAAAATTTGGGAAAACTTTCTTCTTGTGAGTGTTGATGTTGGTTGCTTTGAAGATGCATTAAATGCTTACAATCGTTTGATTGAACTTAAGAATAAATATTTTGATGAAGAAGTTTTGACAATAATAATGAAAGCAATTGCGAATGACTTAACCGATGCCGAGGGCCTCGCAACCAGTCGATTGAGAAAGAAAGCTTTGGAAATGTTGGCACATCTCGGTTCGATTCATTCGAATGAAGGTGTGGTTTGGGAACTTTCAGCGATGTTGACAAATGAACCGTTGAAAAAAGCTGAGAAACTTCAGAAAGCACATAAGGGATATGTCTCGGTAAGTTGACATTTACAAAATTGGTTTGAAGTTTTATTCCGTGTGAAAAATTGAGTAGGTTGAAACTTTTTTTATAATAAGAATTGATGAAACTTTTCCAATAATTTAGAAATCACCAGATTGGGCAAAAGATGAAACGATTGGACTAACGATGCTCAAGCTTTGTGAGAACCTTTGTGAAGTATCTTTGGAAGCATCAAAAACATTCGAGGAACGCGAAAAAATGCTTGTTTTATCTCAGTTATCATCAGCTCGCTTGACGGCGCAGAGTTGCGTAAAGGTTGCCATGTCGAATGAGTGGGAGTCGTGTAGGGGTGTCACATCTAACATTAACCAACTTCTGGAAAGAATTGTTTTGAAAATCAAAGAATTGAAATAAAATTTAAAAGATTTTCTTTTCTTATATTTTTTCCATTTTCTTTTATTTCAATTTTTATTCAATCGGTTTTACATAAAAAGCTTAATCCGAACAAAAGAAGGATTTTCTCATCTCTTTTTTTTTATCAACTTATAAAGTTTTCTTTTTCTTTCGTCTTCCATGAATACTTATTAAGGACATAAGATCTTGCGAAATGACTAAAAATGACATCTCTTCTCTCGCTGTTTTCTTTGAAAGAGGTTCGAGAAGAATTTTCTTTGTTGGGTTGCGCAACGAATAAAAATGTATGATAAAGAGAGTAAATTTATGGACGTTAAATTATAAGTGAAGCTCTTAAGGTTGCCAGTGTTTATGTCCTTTTATAGCGAGATATATTCAATTTACTTCTGTACAAGTATTTTTAAAGTCGCTAAAGCATGCGACAGCTAATGACTCATCCAAAAAAAAATAAAAATATTTTGTTAAATAGCGTAGATCAATCATCAGTAGTACGAGCTTGCGACTTATTTATTTTATTTTTTCCAGCTTATGAGATTAATGTAAAAAAAAAGAAAAATCTTCAACTTTCTGTAATTCATTTTCGGTAGCAATTTTTATTAAATATTTTATTATTTTTTTTTATTCTTGCGTTATTTAAGCTCCCATTCGTGCGTGAACAAAAAAATTCGTATTTATTCTTCTTATTTCATTTCATAATCATATAATTCAATTTACATTATTACTGAGACTCCCATCATACAATTGTAGATTATTTGATGATTTAATACTTGTCATGCTTTCAATGATACATTCATATCTCGAACATTAAATAAAGTAACTTTGTGAATGCTGAGTTTGGACGTTTATCTTCTTGTTTAAATGAAATTAAGTAAGTGAAATGAAATTTTTGATGAATTGAAATGTCTTGAAAGCGAAATAAAATAAAATTTAATTTGTATCTGCAGACAACCTTTCTCTCCCTCTCTCTCTCTCTCTTTCACATTTTGATTTCCACGCACTCCTTACTTTGGATTCTAAATATCTTTTACATTTATTTTATTAAGTTTTACCTTGACGTATTTATTCACCTAATTTTAACTTTATATTTGTAATTTTGTTTTTCTCAACATTATTTGAAAAAGGCAATAAGTGTTTTTAATGTCTTAATTCTTTTTTTCTTTCTTCTTCCAAGGTATTAAAATATATTCATATTAATTATCATATGCTAGCAAAAAAATATTTTTGATATTCCATTCCGCGCTAACATAAATGAAATATTCAATGTGGGGATGATATTAGAGCGTGATAATTGCTTAATTATCTTTAAAGCAAGGCAAGAAGAATTTAAATAAAATGAGAGAAATCTTTAAAGCGGGGGTGGATGTCTTAAGATTACAAAAATTCACAAAAGAAACAAAAAATGAAAGGAAATTCATCTTTTATAATTTATGTATATTCATTTTCACAAGTGTTTAATCTTAAAATCATTAGAAATATTTATCGCGCTCCCAGCTTTAAAATCAAACCATAATTTGCTTGATGTCTTGTAAATCGTTGATTATCAATTCATTTACACTTTCAAATTTATTCTAATCTGGGGGTATCATCTTGTCAATACATAATTTTAATATCAATTTTTCATTCTTTATTAATTCATCATATTTATGTCACTTAGATATCTTTAAAATATAGAATCAATCAATTGAAAATCGGGTTGATAATTAGATAAATATCTCAACTGTCTTCTCAACATTAATTCACAAAATATTCAACTCAATTTTCATTTGAAGTGTAAAATTTTAACTGAAGATTGAAAAGTTGTAATGAAGCTAAAAAATTGACGATAAAAAATCAAATTGTGATCTTTGGATGCTTGCTTAAAGTAATTCTTTTCAATTTGAAGCTTCTTTGTTCATCCTTAATTACCCGAAATTCACATTAAAAATGAATATACCTTGAATGGTGTTAATTATTCTGCATGATGCATTATTGATGATTTACACATTTAAGGAATTTTGTTATCTTAACATTACGTAGAACGACATTTCTTAATTTGTTTTCTTTTTAAATTCTTCAATTTTTTTCTGTTTAAAAACGTCATGAAAATTTTAATGTACGGCAGTTAATTTAATTCATTTCTCTTAATTACTTTTGCATCATCCAAAGCTTTCAACAGTGATTTTCCGTGAATCTATTTAATAGAATTGTTCTCGCATAATTTTTGATTTCTAAATGCCGAAACTTTTGACTCGTTTACTTAATTTTGTAAACAATCCAAAGCTTCTTTTAATTTGTTTTCCTAAAGAGTGTCATGTTGATTTTTTATCTCAGTATTTTTTCTTTCTTTTCCTAGAAACATAGGAAATCATAGGGAGAGACATTTTTTACATATCTTTTTACATATTTTGTTATGCAAAACGTAGTAGCAAATTGAGATTCTTGTTTCTCCATCAGAAATTTTAAATAGGTTAAAAAATAAAAAGCTAAACAACATGAATTTGTTTCGCGCATGAAAATGTTTTTTTGATGTAAGTTGAAACAAGTTAATTTGAATTAAATATATATTTGCGTGGGTGTATCTGTGTGTGTGTTTATGCTTTAAATTATCTGAAAAGGATTTTAAGATTAAAATCATTCGATATGTTTACCATTTGTTCTTCATTCTTATTTCTTTTTTTTTTTGTCAAATGATTTGGAAATTGTTGAGGCTGTCTCAGAAGGAGACGAGAAATAGGCGGCGCGAATAGCAAAAATTGATTATTGAATTGTCGCTAACTATTCCACTGTTAAACCAACTTAAAATGATGTCTTGACTTTATTATTCTTTTATTCTTTAGTTAAATAACTTCGTCAAAATCAACATGATGAGAGTGGGTAGGAGAACAGCTTGTAAAGCTGTTGCTGTGTTGTATGTCACACGAATATCACCCTCTTCAATAAATGGACGATCGATCACATGAATGATACCATTGGTGCAAATCACATCGGAGCGGAACACATTAATCTTCTTGTTGTTCCATGTTATCGAATAACCTGCAAAATAGATGAAATTCATATGAGTAAAGTTGAAGTTTGATGAGAAAATGAATTGGATGTGAGAGTTAAAGGCCAGAATGTTAAATGTCTTTTAATCTTCTCAACATATACAAAGTCTATTATTTATCATTTACTTTTAATGTTCATATGCTTCTACATACAAAATATTTATGTTATGAAGATATTTTTTATGCATTCACAAGAATGAAATGTCTTTTCATTTTACGTATGGTGGGTGCTTGCGGAAGTCAATTTAGTGTCTTCAATAAATTCATATGACAGTTATTAAAATGTCAACGACTTTAATCTTTTAATAAACATTCTCATAATCGTTCAACATTTAAAGATGAAAAAAAAAAAAATATGAACATGAAAGATTATTATGTTTAATGCTCTAAATATTTGAGTGATCTAAATAAACATTGACAGGCGAAAATGAGAGGAGAATAAAGAAAGACATTAACATTAAAGGTGCTGTAATATTTAAGAAAATCATCAATCACAAATTATGAAAGTTAGAACACAATATCTTAAGTGATGTTTGTGTGTTACCAATCGATATGAATGATTGAGAGACTTGCTTTGTGTGAATACGGGCTTTAATAAAAGCCAAATCGACTTTCACTTATTCAATCAGAAAATTGAATTCTATGGATTATTCTAAGGACAGACACTCAATAGCCAATGTTATGACATATTTCATAAAGTCAGAAGTGGGGAGAGACAACATGGACAGTTCATTAATTTATTATTAAAAGACAGAAAATTCTCTTTTATGTGATGAAAGCTGTTGTATGGCATATTGACTGTCATGTTCACACAAAGCTCAATAAATTTGCAACGAAGCTATTGATTAAAAAAAAATACGAGTAATCATATCTCATGTATTGTACACAAACTCGATTACGTCCTTAGTTTCATTGTCTCTCTCATGATAAAAGCTTTAAAAGCATAAATTTTACGTATAACAATCACTTGGCATCTATTATGACAGATAATTTAATGACAATGTTTATCACTATAGCACAAAACAGCTAATTAAAGTATAAATTTCAACAAACTTCTCCACACATTGTGATTTGATGAATGATTAATAAGCTAACGTTTCTCTACAAAATGTTTTTCAATATCAGATTTATTAATAAATAACAATAACAATAACAATTCTACCAAGAAAATTACTTAAAGTAAGTAAAAAAAAACTGATTGTCATGCAATAGACAAGAATGATGACGCATCAAAAATTAAGATGAAGAAATATAAAAATGACTTATGAAAGGTTCGCAAAATTACTGTGGCCAAACATAAATATGCTTTTGCTTTGACTACGAATTTAGAGAATGAGAAGAAGATGGAAGATGCTTACCGGGATGAAACTCACTTAACGAATAATCATCCTCAGCTATTTTTAATAAAAAAATTGCGAGGGTGGATGTTGATTAGTGGAATAGAATTTCAAAACATATATCAGTTCAATTTAATGGGACAATTATTAAAAGAAAAATTAAGATTGAGTGATTTAACTTTGTTGTGTTCTGTTTCATGTTAAGTGAGTGTTCAGAGTTTGATATGATTATGGAGATGTAAAAAAACACAAATTAGTCGGAATCAAAAGGATAAAAAGGGAAGAACAATTTCAATTTCGAAAAGATTAGCAAAAAAAAGGTTTGAGAAGCATTAAGATAACATCGGGGTTGGAAAAAGTGTCAATTATACAAGCGAATTTATTAGGAAACAACCCTGATAGTTATCGATCTAATAACTCATTCTTTATGACCCTTTAGAGAACATTTTTTATCTTGCTATGTGTTTGATCACCAACAAATTTCTTTCATTTTGTGTTCAATCAGGTGTAAAGAGTCAGACATGTCATGCTAAATGGATTAAAAAAGTTTATTGAATGGTGTAAGCAAATGTGGAGCGAAACTTATAATATTTATGTATGTACACAAAAGCCGGGTCATATCATGAGTGGAATTATCGGAAATTTGGAATCAGCTGTGGGTAATGTGAAAGCTTTTCTTTTTGTTCTCAGAACGTTAAAATCGTTAGCAACGAAAGCAGAATTTTAATGAACCAATTTTTAAATGTTTGTTAATGTGACGCGAACGAATGTCACGTTTTGAGTTTCTATATTTATTTATTTTTTAAAAAATATGCAAATAAGAAAATAAATTGAATGGAAGAAAGACATTGTGCTTGATACAGTTTAAGTTAGAATGTAAATACTCACGTCGATCATGTTCATTAATTTTAACTCTTAAATGACCACGGACTGTGTCAAGAAGAAGTTCACTATTTTGTTTCATTGACTTGTCTCTTAATTCAGCCATTGTCCATCTTTTATCAGCGACAATCAAATGATGTTCCAAAATTAATCTCGCCTAAATAATGAATTGGAAGTGGAAATAAATGAATTGATTTTGATTTTTATTGTTTGATGTAACTCACATGATAAGAGAAATGAGGCAAAAAGAGTTTGGTGTAGACTGATGGATATTCGTTTTCCAAGTTTCTCCAAGCCATATCACGAGGTACAAAGAATGTGTAAAAAGCTGTCGTTCCGTTCAATTGTGCATTAAATTCATTGCGTGATCCGAGCCACAACGTGTTACTGGAAACATCGAAATGATACAAGAAAATTACATTTTATTTTCTTACAAATTTCGAACGTGACGTTGATGGAATTGTCCTCTAATATTTCATCACTTACTTCAACATTGGATCCGTCTGCAATTTCTCGAGAACAGACATATATGGAACACCAAGAACGTGATCAATGATGTGAACAAAGCCATTTGTTGCAGCAATATCAGATTGAATGATGGTTGCGTTCACACCTCCACCTTCAACTGTAATCGTCTTGTTGTTGTCGTCACGATTAACAACGTTAAAGTATAAGAATTTCTTATCGACATTTGTTGGAATTTGAGCAATCTTTTAAGTTGAAAAAGAGAAAAAGAAAAGGGATAGATTGAATACATTTCAAGGGATTACTTCTTCCTTTATTTCATATGTTTATCCTTTACCTGATTATTGTTATTTGCCCTTATTTTATCCGAGTTTAAGCGTTCATTCACGAGATGTAGATTCAAGATTTCTCTCATCTTTTGTTTGTTACTGTGAAAAGAAAATTGAAAACTACTGAATAAAGAGCTTACGAATGAAATGAAAAAAGTTAAAAGCTACATGTAGGTATATCGTCAAAAGTCATAAATTTTTTTCCGGAGAAAGGCTTTAAGTCTTTGCTACAGAATTTTCGTTCTAAAATTGCCATTCCTTCCATTTATCTTCAACCTTCTACATACAATTAATTCCCGTTACGCCCTTTTGTTGTGAAAGAATTTTAGACATGATCAAAAACCAATTTTTGGAAGTGAAAGCTTTTTAGAGAAGGGACAGAATGTGGGAGAATCAAAGGTCAAAAAATTCAGGAAAATCATTTGCCCGTATCGTTTTCAGGTGGTTTTCTATGTTTTTATTTTCTCTTAACTGAATATTTTTTATTTTAATCTGTTCATCATCCACTACATATATCTTACGACGATTATACTTAGCCTTGATGCTCACGTTTGATTAAATGGATCATTTCTTTAAAGAGTTGCCCCAACCGTAGACATTTTGATGTCGAAAGGTTGACGTAGATGGAGAGGAAGAACAACAAAGTAAAGAAAATGTTTTTTTTTGTAGATACACAAAAAAAGAAAGAAAATAAAAAGATCAAAGAGAAAAGTCGTTTGAGGGATAATAAAAAGAAAGGAAATTCAAAATTAAGTATATTCGTATGTACTTGATTTTTTTATGTCACTAGATTTGTTTTTTCTGTCAGTGTTTGGAATAATGCGTGAAAATTTTTTGTCTTCATCCAGATGATTCTTTTCAGATCGTTTCGATAAAAAAATGTTCGATGAGCTTTGTGATTTCACAAGAATTATGATTGTTTGAATGCTTCTGATATCAAAATGTGATTGATTTCTCATTGAATCGTTGGAAGATTTGTCTTTTGGGAAGTTATTTAGCAAGTGATTGTTATTTATAAAATAAGGAAAGGTTCTTCGAACTCGAAGATTAAAGATATAAATAAATCTTTTCATTTACTCAAGTATTAAAGTTTTGAAACGGAAAATATAAAACGAAACCTCTTGCGAATGTCAGCAGATTTCTGTTTAATTTTCTTTAATTTAACTTCTCTTCATTCAATAATCTCCGGTAAAGGCTTTGTTTCCAACCTTTTAAGATTCCTTTAAAGTTAAGATTTGAAAGAAACTTGAAGATATAATATCGAATCAGCGTTAAATTCAGCTTATTCATGAATCCCTTAATGGGTCGTTTCATAAGAAAATTGATGTGTAGGACGTAATGAAATTTCAATGAGAGTCGCGCCTCACTCTGTTGTAAAATTTGCTTACTCAAGACGACTTTACTTTCCTTTCGTCTTTGAATAAATCTCAATTAAATGAATTAATATCGAAGAGAGTTTTTCGTGCCTATGAGGCTTTTCTTATAGAAACTTTCTTAATTGCTTTAGCAAAGGAAAAAAATGAATATCGAGGGTTGAGTGTTGTGTGAGAGTTTATGAATTCAGTGTGATTATGATTTATCCACACGAACTTGCAAGAACTGTTAATCACTTACCCAATTATGTTGCGAACTTCCGGACGGTTCCATGCTTCATTGCTCGGTGCGAACAACGTCACGTCTCTCATTGAATTTATGGTTGTCATGAATTCACCTCCTACATCCATTATGACTTCATAGAACTTGAAGAGTGGACCATCTTCCTTTTCCTATTATTATTAAATGTGAAGAGATGATAAAATTTATTTAGCTTCCTTTGCTATCCAAAGCTTTGATAAAGAATTTTTAAAAACAATGCAGAAGAATGAGAGAAGAAAATTTCTTCAATGTTTATAAATACAATAAAATCATAGCAATTTAGCATACAAACTCAAGACAAATTAATTAATGAACAAGAATTAAGAGAGAAGACAAATCCTTAATAAAAATAAAGTTTAAATATTTACATTGGATCGTAGTCAAAATGAAATCATCTCTTCTAAGATAGAAAATCAACTCATTAAGGTTCTAGACTAATTAAAAAAGGAAGAAGTAGAAAAGGTAAGAGACGAGCTTTTAATGTATTTATAAATATTTGCTTTGTCTGGTTTCTGTCTCTTACTCCTTTCTGCCGTGAGTCACGGCCCGTGACCTCCCATAAAATGAAGAATAAATTTACTTAAACTGTTAGATAAATTGTCAGATATTAAAGATGCTAAAATAAATCAATTTAATTTGATCAAGATAAAGAAAAATATTTCATTCAAAAAAATTTATGCAAGCGATGCAAATTTATGTTGAACTTTTCTTTCCAGTCGATATTATGAATGCAAGAAGGAAGGAGAAGGAAGAAAACTTGAATGAATCATGCATAGTCAGATGCAGTATGACGATGGCACAAGGAAAATTGATGCTGTTTCCATATTTATTAGAACACTTCTTGACTTTATCTATTTGATTATTTACTCAGGCGTGCTCTCAAGGAAAATAAAACTAGAAACTTTCGACCATTTGTGAATTAGTTTTTGACGTTCATTTGTAACTTAGACTTGCAAATTGTTGAATTAAAGTTCCTTTCTTGCCTTTTCTTTAGAGTTTCTTGAAGATGGAGCCTTATTAAAATCATAATATTTCCTTTCCATCATCTACGAAGAAAAAAAAAATGCAAAACGTTTTCAAATAAATGAAAATAGTTTTCTTCCTTATGCTGTTTCTGTTATGAGAAGGAAAAAAAAATTATTTTTGTTTGTCAAAAGTTCATTGAATCGTATGTAACAGATTTCTAGTAAAGTGTAATCCGCCCACGATTCAAGACAACGGCGATATCATGTTGCGATGTTTCAAATTACTCTCGACAGAGGTGAAAAGTGCTGAGAGATGTTAAATGTTTTACCTTTTTACGCACCATTTAAAGGAGAACAGCAAAATAATTAAAGGTAACGATTTTCCACAGCTTTGAAACATTCTGCATAATAAAACAGCTTTTGGGGATACGCTTGAACTTTTATTGGGAATTTATGTTGTCGGTAGTTTGGGATAACGATCCATGTCTTGAATGCTTGTGGAAATTTTCTTTACTGTTTGTTCAAACTTTAATGTTAGCTTGCCATGCTTACGTTTCACTCTGCTTCACTTTTAAAATTATTCTATTGAATAAAAGATGGAAGACAAAGTTTGGCTTTGGAAATTAAAAACAAAGTGAAGTAGTAGATGGAGAAGTAATAACGACGTTAAGAAAGTTCATCCGCAAAGTTTTTTCTTCCTAGTGTAGCATATGTAGCAAATATCTTTGTCAACTTCATATAAGGTTTACTAATGGTCAGTGACTTTATGTCTTCCTTTTCGATGCCTTACAACATACTCAAAATCTCGAATACAAATCACGCAGAATGTCAATCAGTTCAAGTTAAAAACACATTGCGATGACAAATCTTTTTACAGTAAAGAATGAGAGAAATTTCAGTCACCTCAAATCAAATTTGAGAAAGCTTTAGGTTGTCTATCGACGTGATGTTAAAAAATAGGCAAACGAATCCATTTAGAATACAAAATGTGAGTAGTTTTTGTGATAAGAATTCATATCCCAATTTTTTTTTTGGAATTTTCCTTTTTTTAACAACCTTTACGCAAATGAATGTTGGACGACAGAAAATAAAACCGAAATTTAAGATTTATGACACGTACAATGTCAGGAAGAAAATTTTTCACAATCGGGTGGGTGAGAGACAAAATGTAATTCTCATGTCATGTGATTCTCACCGGAGACTAAAACGTATGATGGAAACAATAAAACATGAAGATTTATAAGTCCCAACGAGAGTTTTAGAAGGAATACATCAATAAATGTGCTAAACATCTAATGTCACGTTATGATAAGCATGATGAACAAGTACACAACGCGTCAACATCTCAAGCAAAAGCTTATAAAAAGTTATAAAATTGAGTCATGCCATGAGGAATCTTTCGGACTGAGAATTATTAAAATTTTAATTTTCTGCTACGTTCAGGATTCTGTGTCATGACAAGTCGCTGAGTCATTTGTCAGCGCTTTTAACTTGGAGGAAACTTTAATTTTCTCAGAATAACTTTAAGAGCGAATGACTCAGGTTGACGTGACTCATTTTTATTTCTTCTTTTTTGCTAGATTTGTAAGCCAATTAAACATTGAATTAAAACATTTCATAAGCAAACAACAACAGATATCGAAGCATTAATAAAGTCCTAGGGAGAACATTTAAAATACTTACATTTACAATCTATGAGAGCAAGAAATTATTGATATTTTTATTTATATCAGGAATATCATTTGACGAAACATTTAGATTTAGATCGATCGATATTTATCCCCGCATCATGTTGGATATTAGAAATTGAAAGCCAAATAAGCAGCAATTCATCATCATTTATGAATTAAGTTTTATGTTTTTATGTTATTAAATCAACGACATTTGATTGTCCATAAATTTAATCAATAATTCACATTAACATCATTATGTATGAAATAAATGAATTAAACACAAGAAAGAAGAAAAGAAAGTAAGAAAAAGAAAAAATTGTATTGGTTAGTACACAGTTTAATTAAGTTTTTTTCTTATCATTAAATTTTTAGGTTTTCCTCTAGAAGTTTCTCTCAATTAGTTGTGCAAGCCTTTGCAAATGAAGGAAAAACAATTAATTTTTATTTTACCACAACGTTTAAGAAAATAATTATAAGTTGATGAAGAAACAAAAGCAAACTTCTATGAATTTTTCTTTAATTTATTTTCGAGACAGAAAATTGTTTGTGATAAGATTTAAAATTTTCCTAAGCTTCTTCAACTGCCCCAAAGGTAAATGTTTTTATGAAGTTTAATTTTACTTCGTCATGCTCACTGTTCAGAGAATATTTTAATGAAATGCAATTTCAAATGCAGAATAATTTAATTTCGGATCTAATGAAATAAATTTATTCAATTTTATTTTTAAATTGACGAAAATATTTGCTGCTTATCTTGAATCATAATTTTCTGTCTCGCAATTTATATTTTATTTTTCTTTCATGATTAATAATTCAGCTTTGTTCTCTCATGAAAGATGTGTAAGTACGAGTTACAGTATATTTGTGAAATTAAACATATTGAATCATAATGACAAAGAAAATATGAATGAGCGTCAACCGAAAATTCATAAAGCTTGGTGTTTTCTTCACATGATGTTTGCGAAACGTAATGTAATTTGTTTTTCATGTTATCATACCAAAGTAAGGATAAATTTATTATTCTACGCTTATAAAACATAAAAGTTTTCTCTACTCGTGTGTGATTATTTAGGATTTATTTTTTGTAACATGTTCAACATATTCATATTCGTGATGATTTCGTTTATTTTTTATGTGAAAATACATGAGACAGCTTTCATGTGCAAAAGCTTTCGATCTCTGCCAACTCGAACAGATGTTTGATCGAAAAAAAATAAGAGGTTGTCACCAAATCTTGGCTGTTTGTTCCAATGTTTTCTTTATGTTTTCTGATTTCCTTTAATACTAAATAAATTCATCAATAATTTTTTATTCATGCATAGATTTTTTGACAATAAAATGAATTTTGATAGTTCATTTGGTGTTTTACTCTTGCGTGTACAATTAATTTGCCGACTGGTTGCATTTCTCATCAAGTAAAAATATAAATGCACACTTAGTCGACACACCAATTCTACGCTTATTTGCGTTTTAATCCAACGGAATGTACAGTAATAAATATTCTCACTCAACTCATGCATTAAAGTGTGCAATTACTGGAAACATAAAGCACCAGAGTTAAATATGCCAATTATGAAACTTAAATTAATTATGAGCTTTGGAAAATAAAACCAAAAACTGAAAGAAAAACTTGTGATAAAAAGCAATTGTGTATAATAAATTTTACATAATAACAAATCTGATTACCTTGAAGGACTGTCGAACGATGATAGTAATTGAGTTTTAAAAATATTCCCAGCAAAATGTTTTTTTATTTATAAAAGTTTATGTGTTGATGAAAGTTTGTTTTGTGGTTTAGTATGTGGAATGAAAAAAAAAAAGTAAAAATTAAAATTAAATTAAATTATGCTTCCCAGGTAGATATCAAGATAGTTGTTGTGAGACTTTAACCAACCCATAAGTGTTATTAATGACCATAAATGTTGTCCCAGTTCGCGTATTCCGAAATCATAAGATCTTATTATACAAAAAGCTATGTTTATGTGCCGTTGATAGACATAAAATAATCAATTCATTATTTGGCAATCATGTCAATAGAAAAAAAAAGCCTATAAAACCACGGATAAGTTATTTCCATTTAAAGTGATGTTTGCTTCTACTTCTTATGCATGGTGCGTTTATTTATATAGAATAAGATATCATAAACTTAAATAATGCTCTTTGGTTGTTTATCTAAAAAGAATTTATGATGCGCCATTCGCTCGCATTGATAAATTTCTATATTTTGTGCAGATAATGCGAATTAAACTTATAAATCACGAATTGGTTCTTTGTTTATTGGGAAATGAAAAAATATTTGAAAGCGCAAAGAAAGCGCTTCAATAATCTTTAACAAAAAACACGAGCTTTCGTTAAACTTTCAAATGAGCTAATTATTCTTAAATGATGACTCAAAGAAATTAAATTTATATTTATTCACGCTCATAATTCTTGAAAACTTAATGAAAGCTTTAATTGAAGACATCAAAGTAAAATCTAACATTGGAAATTCTTTGTTCATTTTGCTTTGCTCGGATTAAAGAAATGCTCACATAAAACACTGTCAAAAAGAAAACTAAAATCTTTATCATTATTTTTCTTCACAGTCTCTTAAAAGAAGGACGAAAAAAATAATAATTTTAGATAAAGTTCTTTCTAAAAATGAAGAACTGGAACCGTGATGAAATATCACATTTTTACATACCTCAAGGAATTTCGCAACTGTTGTGTCAACAACCATCAAAGGACGATGAATCAAATGAACGACACCATTTTTCACTGGAATATTCGCTAACACGATTTCAGCCATAACAACTCCCGTCGTATGCTTTGAATCACCAACGACCGTATTTGACTTAACATACACTGCGAAAATAATGCGAGAAGAATGTCATTAGAATAAATAAATAATAAAGTTCTCTCTTTTTTGTTTCATCATCATACTTTTTGTTTGTTTGCCATCATTCGCTGTGAAAAATATTGCTGTAACTTTCAGATTGTCCTCGAAAGCCTCAGTTTCGTATTGATGTTCCAAATGTGCGGGTGCAGTGAAAACAACATGATTAGGGATGACGTGTCCATCAATAACCTTCTTGTCAATCATATCGGGGCGTGGACTGGGCTATTAAGGAAAATAATTATCATCATTACCAGCATTCAATGATTTTGCACAAAAAAGGTTTCTTCTCTCCCTAACATTACCTTGAAACCCTCCTCAACTGGAATGAAGAAAGTGTGAAAGCCATCAGCAGCGAAAAGTGATTCCTTCTTCTCAATAACAACACGTTGATAAAAGCTTCTTACACGATGCGATCCAATATCGAAGGTGTTGGCATTTGTAAGGAAAGTAAGGGCATCAGGATTGTAGATTTCATTTGAACTTCTATTTCCAGTCGACAATGGATTAAGAACATCGTCGATGACGTGTAGAATCTGAAAAGGAAAAAAGGTAAAATTTTGTTCTAATTTTAACTTTTTGCTTCATTAAACATGCAATGAATTTATTTTGCTTCAAATTGAAACAATTTTTGTGAAAGATTCATGAAGTTCTGATTCTTTAAACCTTGCATAACTTCCACCTTCGAGCATCATAAATAATTCAGTGAATTTCATAATTAATATGAAACAACCCGAAAGCTCTTAATTAATTACAAATAAGGAAAACAAGGTTAGATGAATTGCCCTGCTTTAATTTACAACTAAGTCAAATCGACTCACCTGTCGTTTGCCATTCTTGTTTTTCAGATCAACATTCGATCTCGACTTGAGAATCATAGCATTGTTGACGTAAATCTCTTCTCCTTGTTTCGTTCGTCGTTTTGTAATGTAAATCGGAGGATTTCCGTCCATTTCGGTTAACATGCTTGGCTTCAAATGTTCCATCTTGTTCGGTGTGTTTGCTGTTTAATTAATTGTACATGATTAATAAAAACGTTAAATGATTGACGAACGATAATTAATTTCAGTTATATGCTTACTCATGTGATATAAAACATGAATTTTAAGATCGGGATAGCGTTGGAAGGCCTGATTGGTTGGAGCAAACACGGTAACTGCACGATACTGAAGTGTGGCATTTGCTGGGCCATCTCGTAGTATAAGGTCATAGAACTGCAAATAAGAAAAGAAAACGTCGTTAATGATAGTGAAGAAATATAAGAAAAGAGAGAATTAAATCGATTGCTGGCTACGAGTGGAATTATCAGAGCATCATAAGAGGATAACAATGTCTGCCCTTTACACTTCACAAACATAGAAACGAATACCATTAAAAAAATTTCCAACATCATTTCCATCATATTTTTATACTTCAAGTAGACAAGGGATGGAAATTTTGTCATTTTTATCTCACAAAACGCAAGAGAATTGACTTTTATTTCAACATTGAAAGCTTTTTCGGTTTTCCGGTGAGACAGGAGATGTAAATTCTCTGACAACTAAAAGTGGTTCCGTTATTGAGATCATCTGTCAATGGCATATTGTTCTATCTTAACATTCATAACATTTTATGTAAAGTACAATCACTTGTTCTGTAAAAACTTTCATCAGAGTTTTCTCGTTACTCCCACAAATCGATTTACCCGACATCAGTTGACGATGGGAAAGAAAATTCATTTCTTTGTGCAATATGAAAAGAAAGCGGGAAAAGTTGTGCTTCAGTTGTCATGAATCATGATGTCACATATTGATAACGTCAGTTTAATAAAAAGTTATTTTTGGCTTTGACATAGTTTTCTCTTTATTAGTTTCTAGGGATGTGAAGCTTCGTTTATCGTCTAATTCTATTATGGCGATAGAATATTTAAAAGGTTATAAAGCTCATGACATAATTGACGAACATTGCTGACAAAATTACGGAATATTTTGTCATCTTTTCAGTTCATTAAAATTTTTAACGGCAGCTATTAAATTATGGATCTCATGTCACTATCACTTCAATCAAGATAATTGGAAATGAACGGAATGACATGCAACAAATTCACTTAAAATGGAAGCTTTTAATGAAATTGCTTGTGCCAAGTAGGCAAACATTCATTGAGGTATGATAACAAACGTAGCTTGACTACTGATTTGCCGCTTAAATAAGTCAAACCATGAGTTTAAGAGTATGTCTGTTTATATTTGCATTCCTCTCATTACGCTTGAGGAATTTCAAGACAAGAACGAACGCATTGAATTTTCTTCCATGCAAAATTGATATACAACAAAATGGTTAAGAGATTTATGAATAATTTTAAACTTTGTATCGACGACAGCTCGGTTTAGTTGTCTTGCGTTGATCATGCTTCAGCTTGAAATATTTCAAAAATGAACCCAAAAGAGGGAAAAATAATTTGAAGTATGGCAAAGTTTTCATGAGACCCTTAGGGCTTGTAGAAATGGTTGATAATTTTTCTTTCTATCACAACAAATCCCTGACGATACTAGCAACTAATATTAAACTTTCATTGGCTTCTGCGACAAAGTTGCTGAAACTTTTAAAAATCGTTGAATCAAATATTAAACTTTCAGATTTTCGTAAAGCTTTTGATATCAAAACGAATTCTTTGAACCTTTTTCTATAAATAAAAAATGATCTCAATAAGTTATCGATTAAACAAATATAACGTTCCTGATGAGAGACAAAACATTTTTCATTCTCATCATGAGAAATGACAAAAACCCTTCATTCTGTGGTAAAAATTTGGCTTCCCTAAAAATATCTTCAATGGAAAGCTTTTGCTACGTGGCTCGAAAATAAACATTTTCCCACATAATTCAATTAGAGAGGAACGAGGAGAGAAGGTCTGATGGTTTCTGTAATCTCAGAGACTGAGATATTAAAAATATTCCAACAAAATCAAAGCAAACCAAGAACTTGAAGCATGTGAAAAACTATTCAAATGTGCAAGTTTAGTTTCTAAATGAAAATTCTCAATGTTTGGGAAAATTGATGATAAATATTTATGGAAGACTTAAGTAGACATAAATATATTGATAAAGTTTCAAACCAAATGTTGTAGGTGGTATCGACAGCTTCTCCATTATTTTATTTCCTGATGGAATTTAGGAAAACATAAAATAAAATTATTTAACCCACATCACAGTCAAAGGAAGAAAGATGAGCTCTTCGAAATGTTATTCACCATAACTGTCATCTCTTTAGGATTACGGCTGAGAAGCGGAAAATCCAAAGAAGGGACAATGAAACATTGCTTTATTCATGATAGTTTTGATGTAGGCTTTAAGAACTTGTCATCACACCCTCGATCAATAAGGAAAGTAAAATCTTTATTTGTCAGCTCTCTGTAAAGCTTTTGATGAAGTTACAAATCCCACAAACACAACTTTAAAGAGTTCGCTACTTTTGAACTTCGAATATGAGAAATATTAAAAAAGATCCACCATGAAATGTTTGCTCTTAAAAGTCAAAAGAAATTGTTTCGAAAAGTTTTAATCTCTTCATTTTTTCTTATAACAAAGCATTAAATACTTAAAAATTTACTTCCTTTCAACAAAGTTTCGTATAATTCAAAACCATTAACAAGTATCTAAATGAAAGTAAAAGAAGATTTTTCACTTTATAAATTGCTTTTACTTTGAAAATGTATTCAAATTCGTGGAAAACCAAACACATGAATTTTTATTAAAAAGACTTACTAAATATTTAATATAATATAGCAAAGTAAGTTATTTCTTGAGTGAAACATTCAAAAGCAATCTTCAAAGTCATTGTGCGTTGAACGATGTGATTTTTAATAAAAGAAAAGGAATCCTCAAACATTGTGCATGATGATTTCATTGACTTTTATCTTGTCATGATGAAGAACAAGATTTCGCAATTATTCATATTTAAAAGAAAATGAAATTTCTTACATTTTTATTCACTTACAGTTGATACATTAACATTCGCAGTGAATAAATGTATAAAGCTATCGAATATGCTTGCAAATGGCATTTAATTTTCACATCACAAAATGTGTTTGATATTCTTACACTGATTTATGAGTAAATATTTTTTTCGGTATGTTTACAGCTTCTTCTTATTTGTCGTGGAAGGAAAAAATTGCTGATAAGAATCATGACATCAACCCACATCGCACTTGTGTCTCCCCTCTGTCATTACTTATGTTTTTATTGCCTTCAAAATAGCTTCTCTAGAAATTTTCCCGTTTCGCATTAGCTTAAAAATATGTCACAAATGTTTGCCAAATGAATTTCATTTTCACTTCAAGTCCTTGAAAGCATTTCACTTTCTCTCTCCACCCTTTCAGAATCATTTGGAATTCAACAGTTTCTAACTCTCGAATTTGGTGATTTTAACTTTATTTTAAGAGAAAAGTTTATGAGTTAAAGTTGAAAGAATGTTGTTCTTATGTTTTATTTAGAGGAAAATCCTTTCGAACAGTCTTTCACAAAGCAGAAATAAAGGAAAGGAATAACACATCATTGTAAGAAGAGAAAGCGTTGAATTTTTTACGAGATAACACAAAAAAGTGGCAGCATAAGAAGAATAAGGAATTTTAATATTTCGAGAGAGAAAATATCCACGAACTTTGAACATAAATTTATGAAGTGAGTTGACTTGAATAATATATTCTTGAAATACTTTTGTGTAGAATTCCTAAATTTGATTTCGTTGAAAGGGAACATCCGTTTCTGTCTTCTTTGGAGTCTGAAACCCTTTCAGTGCTGAAGCTCTACTGTCCAATTGAAAAGCAAATTTCAACCGCCTACGCTTCATGTTGACTTTCTTCACCCACTAAATTATAAATATCAATTCTTGTAGACTTCTTTCGGGGGTGGTTATTATGTTTCTTTTTAAAGTTGTGCATGATTCATACTTTAATGGGCAATTGGCTTAGACGCAAACAAGAAACTGAAGCGGGAAAAGAACGAAATTAACAGTTTAAATATTTTGTTTATTTCTCTCTTTTCCTCCCCCGACAAAACGACACACGCCATAAAATTTAATGTTTAGAATGATTGCAATTTAAGCGAAAAAGGAAATTTCAATATTATCAGAGGCTGCTGTAATTATGAAATGAAATTTTCCTTCTCATAACTATGATTTAATGTGCTAACACAATCATTTTATAATTCTATTAAAAAGATGAAACGAGCGATTGTTGCTCGAGAATTTTCTTAAACGAACTGAGATGAAAGAGAATTTGTTGTGAAAATTAAATTAATTAAAATGTTCTTTCAATGACACTTTTCATTATCGTCATGGAAAAAAAAAATCTTTTCATGTGTGACGTTCAAAGGGTTCGTCTTTTCTTATGTTGAACGTCTGCACATGTGGTTCATGTAAGAGAAACATGTTGGCAAGGAAGATAATCGTGAACAAATAATTTACAACTGTAAGATTAGCAGTGCTCATCGTAAAATCAGACTCGAACGTTCTCTCATAGTAATGAAACAATAAAAATTGTTTTATTGATTTTTGTGACCTTTTTTTATATTCAAAAGCATGGAAAAGAAACATTTCAGGGGATAATCAGATACAAATTCGCTTCAATCGGCATTAATGATTCAACAAGAAAGGATTTCATATCAAACAGAATAAATAAAGCTTTGGGACATATCACCCGTTGCGACCATTAAAATCTCGGCACTTTACTTACATAAATATCAAATATCATCTCATTGTCCAAAGTTTCATAATAAATTATTCATTGACGAAACCGGAGATATTTCAGTTGATTGTACAAAGGATTTTCATCCATTTCTCTCTCGCTTTCTTTTATTTTCCTCTGTGTATGCTCAACTCCAGCAGAAATTTATCAACAATGAAAAGGATTTCGATCGAAACTTCGTGTGTGTAATTTAATATCATTAGATTTATACAAGAGATTAATTGACAGCAAATTTCTCATCTTATTTGAAACTCAACACGACAATCAACTTTTAAGTTATAGAAAATTGATTTCATTAAACAAAATATCGCGTGAGTGAGACTGCTTGAAACACTTTCGTGAACAAGTAAATGACCCAGCATGGAATGGTTTCCGGAAACTTCAATCAAATAACTGTGTTAACAGAACGAGGTAAAAATCCTTACTGGGTCTAATGATACAATTAACTAAATGTAACGTGTATCCTTATCACCTTCCGTCCCCTCCCAAAAAAGAGTTTCTTGCGTGGGATAAAAATAAATTTCACATAAGGAAAATTATTGTTTGCGTGTGTCTTTCAACTTGTCTGCAAATGTTCGGGTGTCATGAGAAAAGTTTTCTTTCTGCAAAATTTATTTATTCAACAGCAATTAATAAAAGTCTTCTTAACAACTCATGTTCTTCTCTTTTTTCTCGGTTTAAGTTAGTGATGTTGGTGTCGACCCAAATGAAAAAAGATATTCTGTGAGGGGAATGAAATGAATCATTCGAAAGATGTATAAATTTCCTAGCAAACTAATCTTTGAAGCTTGATGAGATTCACGAAGCGTTTCGAATATCATTAAGCAAGATTCTATTCCAACTAAATCGATAATGATTCTTAGAGAGTAACGAAGTAATATATCTTGGAGTCGTTAGGATATTGATTAGCTTCCACTATGTCTCGTTTATAAATTCTTGGCATGATCAATTACGTCACGAGAACAACTCTTATCTTGAGTTTTACGATGGTCGAAAACATTTCCGTAGATAAAACAACCTCGTGAGAAAATCTCATTTAGCAGTATTCGAAACATTGCTTTGAACGAACGAATCTAATTACCAACTTTCGATTACTGTCAAGATATTCTGTTGTTGATGGAAACATGTCGAATGAGGTAAGTGGAGCAAAAAACACGGTAAACCACAAACGTGAATAAATATCTGGCAAGTAAGAAGAAAAATGTTTCTAGAGTAAACTTAAAGTTTCTCTCTTGTATTGATTAGCAACGACGAAACTAATTAATTCAAATAATTAGGTTGACTTTAAAACTAATTAAAGCCTACTGACTAGTAACTCTAATTAAAATGACGGTGATTGAGTGAATTGAAAGATATCGAGTGAGTTTCCATGGAAAACTTTCCACAACGGAAATACTGCAATAAATTTTGCTTCTTTTTTGTGGTTACGCTCGCACGAATTTTTAGCGCGATGAACTCGTTAACTCGCCAAATTGTAATGTCAAATAAAAACAATTGAGTGACCAAAATTCTTTTTTATCATGTACTAAAATTCACCGAATTTCCGCAAAAACCTTTTTTCAATTAAAATATCCAAAAACTATCGAAAGCATTGTAAATTATTTAGAAGCTTAAACATGGCTCGGATGATGAAGTGGTGAGATTATATTAATTGAAAGTTGTTATTTGGAAAAAGTTATTAAATTTCTATTCTACCCTTTCTAAATAATTTAAGCTGAAAGCTTTTCTAATACAAAAGAAACTTGTTACCCGGTTAACTAATTTTCATTACATAAAAACCTGGTAAAGTTTTTTTTCTTTTCCTTCGTGAGTAAGAACTCGAACATTGAACTTTCCTAGGTCATCCACACATTCCATTAGTCATCGATTAGTTCATTAATGAACTCTCTTGAAAGCTTTACATGGTTTCACGATTCTTTTTCTACCTTTTTTCGCCCTTCCATCATTTATAATTGTCATGAATGTAGTCGAAGAAACAAAATATTTATTACCGATGGCGATAAGCAACAATATTTGTAAATGTTTTCAATCAGAGAAGTTTTTCCTTCTCAAAATCATCTAATGTTCTGTTATTTCCAGTGAATTTAATCTCATCAACCCTCTCATAGTTTGACAAACATCGAAACTAATGAAAATATGAATTTTATCAATTGGAAGAAATCTTGAAAGATGAGAAAAAGAAAATTATGTGCACATGGCTTAAAGCAATGATAAAATTTTTGTCCCCTTTTTTTCATCCTTTCGTTAATGTTAATAATAGTTTTATGCTCGTGGCCAACTTTCCAAGGGTCGACGAAATTTGTATAGTTTTCCCCCCAAGTACACTTAATCGCTCCCAATCGCTCTCGCAGAAAATAGCACGAAACGAGGCAACATAAAAACTCTGAAGGAAATGGAATCATCGCCTAGACAAGCCACAGACCAATTACGCTCCATTCGGTTTAATTTAGTGACTCATAAAAATCAGTCGAGCGTCGTTGTGCTAATCCACTCATCAAATTGCCAATGCTTCAGAAGCCTCCCTTATAACAATAGAAAGAAAGTTATAAACTTCTCTTAGCGACTCAACTTATTTATTGAAATTTCCTGTTGTAAAGAAATACATTTCTAAGACGGAAGAAAGTTCCTCCAGCGATGCGAAATTATTTTGCGGTGAATGCTTTTAACGATACATCAGAGAGTTGTCAGAGGAGATTTTTATTCACTCAAAATGGAATTTTCTTTATATTGATTCAATAATTCAGAAATTTGCTTCCAACAAGTCATTCTATATTGTACGTTGTGGCCTAGCTTTTCTATCAATGAAAATTGCAAGTCATTCGATTTTTTTTTCTTACTCGTTTCAAGGGTCGAAAAAGTGAAATTTCATATTGCGCTGTTCATAAACGTCTTTATTTATGGTGACAATTTATGGCAAATCACTTTCATTGAATCTTGATCATTTCGTTTCGCTGGGAAAGATTTTTTCTCTATTACTGTTTTATCTTCTGTCTGCGCGCCCTTTCTAAATCATTTCCACCCCCGCGTCATAACAAGCCAAAAAAAAAAAGAGAACCCAATAAAAACAAACAACGCGCATTACTATTTCATCATATAAAGTGCCATAACCCGACGAATAGTCGACTTAAATTGAATCGACTAGCATTTTTCTTTTTCCGAGAAGGGATCGTAAATGAACTGAATGAATCACTAAAGGGGGTTGAAGGAGAAGGAGAATGTAAGGGAGGAAAACAACAGCGAAGTTGTTTTTCTGTGGTTTGGGAATTTTGTCGATACACTGGCGCCACTAAGTCGGACGTACGAGCACAGGGTGCCTTGAAGCGCTGGATAATAGCTGGTTTTGTTTGCAACTTCCCGCCACGTCATTTCACAGGAAAAAAAAAGAAAATTCAACATTCTTGCTTTCATTTTATTGATTTTTTTTCTCTTTTGAGAATAGTTTTCGCTTTAATTTGATGGGGAAAATGGAATAATGTATTCAGAACATTTGATTTTATTGTGTTGTGTTGTTCACGTTTGTTTGGGTGTAGATGTGAGTTTATAATGATTCTCCTGTTGCTACTTTCTCCCCAACCCAAATCGAAACCTGCTCGTAAACACAAGAAAAATCTATAACAAATGTTGGTTTAGGATTTTTCTTGTTTTGTTTGAAGCTTTTTCCGTGCTAGCTTAGCAAAGTCAGCCTAAAGGCCAATAGTGATGGGAAAAGTTTCGTTCGGTAATGAAGTGAACGAAAGTCTATCTAACTAGCATTAAATATAAGACTCAGAATTTGATTTGATATGAAACAGAGAGAGATTTCAGGTTAACAAGCAAGTCCACATATGTTGGATAGCGAATAAAATGTTTTATCAACCTGATGATCTGACATTCAGCCTGCTTTAGTTTTGGCTTTGGCCTTTCGGCTTCGAATAATTATATGTCGGTCATTTATCTGATTCTTCATTCTTACTACATTGCAGGTGTGTCGAACTAGATACAAAATTAATTTTAATTTAATATGATTTCATTCTAATCAGGTTTTCCAATTCCAAAATATGTTTTGCTCCAATATTTTGACCACCTTCTGATTCTGCTTTTCTATCTACATCTAAATTAGAAAACTTTTTTTCTCTATCTCGGTCCCACTTAAGCAGTCTCATTTCCATGCAAATGGATTAAATCATGTGAAAAAAAATCATTTTCTGGGCGAAAGGAATTCATTCTCAATGCAAACGAAGTTATTTCTTACCCACATCGACGGGATCGAAGTGTTTGATGACATGCCGAACAAGCATAAGATGATTCAATTAAGTTTTGAATATTCTGCTTTACATTTTAATTATTTCGACTTGGGATAGGAATCGTTTCATTTTTTTCCTACAATAATTTGTTTTTATCGAGTTTAATATTAAACGATCTCCCCCGTCGTTTAATCAATTCGATTCATCATTAAATTTTTAATTTATTCACAGCACTTTTCTCATAAAGACAGTAACAAGTGTCTCAGTCTCACATATTCATGTGCAACGAGACTATTCGAGTGATAAAGACCCATGTTGGGTGCGATTTAATGAAAAATTTCTTATTCATTGAGTAAATGAATCATCTAATTCAATTTTTTCCTTTCAACTGATTTTCCTATGAACGTGCCAAGTCAGGGTACGGAAATTATTTTTCATCCGCCCTCGGGGCGCTTATTATTTCGAACCATTGCCATCTCCTCTATCTTACTTTATTCAACAATCCGAGGTTTCTCATATTTTCAAGGGAAACGAATGTCAAACTTTTTTGTCTCCAATAAACAAATGTTTAGTCAACTTTTCCCATCTGAAAAACAAAAGGCTTTGTTGATCTGAATGACGGAAAGATTGTTTGCAAACTGAAAAGTGTAAGAAAATATTAAATTGAAAAAAGAAAATAAAAAATTCAAGTTGACTTTTGTAAAAGAGAAACAGCAGCTGGCGATTTAATATGATGTTGAAGTTGATTAAATAACCAGCAAGCATAGCAACCCGTTGAGAAAGAATCTTATAAGAAAACAATATTGATTAAGTGCAAGGGACTTTTTATATAATTGATTGTGATTTCTGTCGTTAATGTCACAAAAACATGAAAATAAAAGTTGAAGCAGTTAAGCCATAAAACATGAAAAACTTTTTGCAATGAATTTCTAAAAAACGTTAAAACTGAGTGAGAAAAACTTTTCATGCTAGAATTTTATTCATTATTTAGTTTTATTTTCAGTCTTGTCATGATCACGGAAAAGTTCGAAACTGTCTGTTAGATAGTTTCAGTTTTTCTTGCCATGACAACAGAGTTTAGAGTTTAGAAAAACGAAAATATTTGGCCAACCCTGACGTGTTCAAAATAAAAACAAACAAGTTTTCACTTAGATGTTTTGTTAGAAACAAGTTTTTGGTTTTATTTGCTTATGTCATGAACTCATGAAATGAAAGCAGAAAACTTAGAGAAATGGCAGCGATTAAGAAGAGGTAAAGCAAGGAGGAAGGAACAACGAATCAATAAACCAAGGGTAATGTCGGAATAAAAATGGTTTCTTCAATTTTAATCGCTCTTAAAATGTTAGATATTTAACATGATATTAATTCACCTTAGTGATACTCAATATCAAATGACTGAGAACATCTTTAAACAATAAAGAAAACAATTTTCCGTGTGGTCGAAAGGTTGAAAAATTATCACTTTGATAAATGATATTTAAAGTATTGAATTAATTAAATAGCCTAATGCGTCTATCGCATGAAATTAATGAAAAATGAATGGTGGTGAACAACACGTCTGGAAGTTGGAAACCATTAAAGTCAGACTAAATGTCGTGTTATATTTCACCATACCAAGTAACAGGAAAATGACGCAAATTCAAATGAGTTTGTGGAAGTCGTAAAAGTTTTTTTTCCACCTAAAAAATTGATTTTTGCTTAAATATATTCAAAACTAAATAAGAAAATAATGGTACGATTATTTTGTCATTAATATTTAAGCGTGAGCTTGTTGCAAAGCTTGACGAATCTTTATCGTTTGATTACATTCTGCACGAAAAGCATTCTATTCCATCGAAACAATTCTGTTATCGTCTTATACATCCAAAGGCGACAGAATTCCTTTGCCAATCCCGCTGCTTTGTAATAAATTTAATCTCGATGAGAATGCTGACTATTCCTATTGAAATTCTTGATTAATATGCGAATAGTTCACGATTAAAGAACAATAAAAGAAATTCCAAGTGAAATTGAGAAACAAGTGAATAAACATTGGAGACGAAAAGCATTGAGGTAAGTCATGTAAGACCTTTCACGCATTGTAATTCGAGTCTTGATTTAAAATGTAAATGTTCGCAAATTTAGACTTGCGATACTTGCTTATTATTGCCGTCATAAGAAAAAGAAGGAAAGAAACGAATTAAACGATCAAACCTCGTTGTTAATTTCGCATAAACACAGGAACTCTTTTGAAAGCACGAAATACATTCGACAATTTCTCCATTGTTCATGATAATTTCTCGCTTTAGTCTAGAATTTTAATTCCTATGAATTATTGTTACTTGTATTGCTGTCACAATTCAACTGAAATATCCCAACATACTCACACGAACATTTGTGAAAAGCAGTAAAGATCGCAGCGATTTTTTATATTTTTCAAATGTAGATTTGGAATTAATTTTAATGAAAAAATTTCAGTATCATAAAATACTTTACGTAACATTTTTATGCTTTTACGGGTTTAAAGAACTCAAAATTAACTGAACCATATCACGAAAAAAGTAAATGAAATGTTTGTGGATTATTCAGAACACCAGGTTTAGATATTCTTGTTTTATTTATTTGATGAATCTCCCAAATTTTCATTTCAACATTTTATTATGGCTCATTTTTTATGAAGCATTCATTCGTCCATTAATATCATGTTGATAGGCACGGGAATAATCCTCGATGGACACCCACCTTGTTTTCTACATATCTTATTTTAAATCGACTCTTTCGGCACCATTCGGCCATATCGAATGAGAAGGGAAATGTTATCTCGTGTAAATGTTTTATTACATTAAGTAGCCAGATGATGGAATAAATATGTAGAATTGCTTATTATTGAAATTAAAATAAGAAAAGGTTTTATCTCTTGACTTCTTATCTCAATAAGTGAGATAACATTGTACGAAAGAACAATTAAACGGTTGTTCAAAATGAAAGTATGTGGTTTGACAAGAGTTATTCATTCAATTGAAACGGTTGCTTTTATTAATGACTTGTTCATTCCTGGAACACTTTAATAATTCAGACAGATGGTCAGCATGCTACCTTAAACCCTTTTCATATCAAATCAAGGACCCAGAAGGCTATTGAATTAAATGAGAAACCTGAAAAGGTTTTTCTGTCTTCATTTTTAGTCCTAAATCTACGATTTATCTTTTCATTCATCTTATCCTTCCAAAACCCCATAAAGCGACTTTCAACAATTCTATTTTCATTTCATAATAAAAACACACAAACGGGTTCTTCTTTTTTTTCCTTCCTTCTTCTTTTCTGGTGAATGACACCTTTTACTACCGGCACTAATCTCGATGAAGATGAATGGGTGATCATCAAAATGTCGAATGACACCTTTTCTTTTGATTTACAACTATCAATGTGGGGCCAGTCGACAATAAACTCACAAATCACATAAATAATGCTACAACAAATAATCTTTGAAATAAAACGAATTATAACGAGAATTTAAGACTGTTTGGAGACGCAATCGTGATTACTTTATGTCTCGACAAGAGACCGGAACGAAGAAAAGAAAATACCCGGCAGCAAAATGATACAATGGAAGCAGCAAATATTTGCAAACTTCTCTCAATAATAGAACAACAATGAATACAATGGAAGCGAAAGGAGGCATGCAAAATGCAATAGAAAAAGTTTTTAATAATGTTTACTTTTCAATATAAATTGATTTTTTAGGGGCGCTTTACATCGAACTCGGAATTCCATCCCATTTCTCTTTCATAAAACTTTCCTCCGGTAAGAAGTGCATGCATATTGTGTTCAGATATTTATTAGAAATTCTTTTGTCTGTCTGATTGTAAAATGTTCTACCTAGTTCGGCTTCCACATTCAGTTGAAAACAGTAACTTAACATTTACCTTTCAGTCAACGCTTTTAAACCCATAACAAAAAATGGAATTATTTTTGGAATGAAATAAAAGAATAAACAGTCGTTCCCAATTTTTTTTGGGAAGTCAAAACACGCATTAAAGATATTGTAATTTCTCACTCTCAATTTTTATTATGCTTCGTTCGGTGTGACGCAAACAAATAGTTTTTTCAGCCCCTGCTTACGATTCAGGGATGAGTGATTTGATCCTTCAATGAATGAGAGTTGAAAATGTGTAATCGATTGTTGAAGGGAACAAGACGTCCCTCAATAACATTTATCTGCTTTTTGTGTCATAATGAGATCACAAACCATGATGTTTCTCGTTCTCATTAATCTCAATGTTTGTTTACAAAAGCGTATAAACATTTAATTCATTTTTGACATGAGTGAATGTGTTAACGGGGTTCCAATAGAATCTGAAAGAGGTGATTGAGTTGATGAGATTTGACGAGAAGATATTTTTACGAGGCGCGTCATAAAACCACGAGCTATAAAAAATGCAACATTTTTATAACGCGCCCAAGCTGCATGTCATGCAATAATCAAATTATCGCTGAGTTTATTGACCATCGGCTAGCAGCTGATCAAATTAATGTTCATACGTTATGACTTGCACTCTTTCTGAATATTTCTCCACTTGGACAGTTTACAATCACCGATTGAACACGAGAATTTACATAATAAAATAGAATTTCCGCTTTGATAACTTCGTTTTCATTCATCATCGTTTGATTCAATTAGTTATTTATCGTTTGAATGTTTGTTTCGAGAACGAGTGCCTTCGTCACCAACTCGACCCATGCCATTGAATCGTAACAAGTTAAAAGATCAACGTGCGCCCATGACTCACAAGAAACTTCTTTGAAACAAGGGAAATGACATCAGACAATGAAATGTAATCAAGTGCCAATTAAAGTGTGCCCACCAACGCCTTCGTCATTTATTTATTATTGTGAGAAATAATGAAGTCACTATTGCTTGCTTGCGTTTGCCCATTAAATCATCAAGTTCTTCAACTTCCGTGGAAGAAGCTAACGACCCGTCACCACGGGAGACTCTTGTTCCAATTCTTTTCATGACCTTTATGCAAATTTAGCTTTTGCTTCTGTCTGTCTTGCTTATCCTTTCATCAGATAACTCTTATCTTATTCAGAAATACTTTCAGAGGCTCTTGAAAAGCTTAAAGTAGCTGAAAATATTACACAAAATGTAGCTCGAGGAATTGAAAATTTAAATTTCTCTCAATTCGCTGATGTTTTGTGTTTGAACACTTGAAAGCATCAGATTCGTGCGATTATATTTCAACGTATGAAAGAGTAGCTCTTTCGAGACTTAAGAACAATCAACAGCGATCGAGATATGATACATTTCTTACTCCATTTAATAGCAATTCATGCAACTAAAGACGAATAAGCGATTCATGAAACTAAAAACCATTTCTTGTGATATGAAACAAAAACTGAATGAAACAATTTCGCAACATAATGTGTGCAGTGTGTCGTAATTATAGTTTTCAATCCCATTTTACTTAAGCAAAAAAGGAAAATTATGTTTTTGACCCAGTGGGACATTAAATTACTTTTTAGTTTCATTTACAATATGTAACTGGTGTTATTGGTGCAGTTTGCCTTTTATAAATTTTCCTAGCTATTGTTCTATTGTTTATGAGAAATATTTTATCTGTATGTTGCCTATCAACCGCACACTCCATTGAGCACTTTGAAAGGTTTTGAAGACGACCTCAGGCTTCCGTTGGTTAATGTGCGTCTGTTTGTTGATCTTTTATTGCTTGTTCTAACACTGATGACTGTCTGCCGTACCCGTCTCTTATTATTTATTGTTTCAAACTCATTTCTCTTTCTAAATGATGACAAGGAAAGTTTGTAATTCGAATTAAATTGATGTTGTTTCAAGAGCAAAATAAGAGAAATAATCAAATTTTAAAGCTTTACGGATTCAATTATTTTTTTAGGAGATTCGCTTCAATGTAAAATAAATTTTAGCAAGAAGATTATTTGATTTTTGCATCGCAGGAAAAGCAAATACAACAGAACGATCCCTCCTTGTCGGTTACCCATCATTTTATCCCATATTTCACTTGAATAATGGAAGTCGTGTGTACGTTAAGTAAATTTCAATCGAATATAATTCATTTTATTGAAACGCTTCTTTTGCTATGATATATAATTGTATTCTCTGCGAAATATAATTCAATATTCACGCTATTCAAGAGAGTGATTTATTTTTATGCAAACTCAATTTCCTTCTTTCTACTTGCCGCTTCACAATGATTACTTCTTCTTTTTGCCATTCTCAGAAGTTCAAACACATTATTGACATAAGCAACGAACAAAGATTTAGTGGCAACAACACAAAATAATCTGAAAGTGGATTGATAGCTGTATTAAAAAGTTTTTATGAGACTTTTTAAAGCTGATTTAAGCTTCAATGACTATTAAAACTTTTTATTAAATGTTTTGAACGCTTAAGCCTTGAAAGATTATTTTTGTTGTTGTTTTGGGTCTGTGGTTGAAAAATGGAATAAAAATTCATTTCCTGAATGTTTTTCATGAAATACTTTTAATGATCTTATAATTATGAAGCTCATTATCTGATAAACTAACTTAATTAATTCTTTTGATTTAAGGAACTCCATTGACTTAATTTATTTGGCATTATTATAATGTTGACAAATATTTTTCATTCTTATTCTGTCATTATAAAATCGATAAATTAACTTTTCCATGTACGCAGAATAAATATATTCAAAGAGACCAATGCAGACAAATTGCTTTTTAGAAGCACTTTGTAAACCTTTCAGTAAGGTAATTGAACAGATAGATGGCATGATTGAATTTCAAATTGAAAGCCATTAAAAATAAATAATTTTCTTCCTTCCTAGTTCTCTTTCATAAGGTTTGCATTCGAAAATCTTAAATTAATTCTTTTTATTTATCTATTATGTTATTCATTTATCTCTCGAGATATTTGAAATTATAAATTTGCAGGCAGTAATATAATATTTAGTCCATTAATAATTTATTTTTGATTAGATACTTCATGATTGTTTTCCCATTCAAATCTTTCTCACATTTTTTCTCATTATTTGAGAAAGATTTCGTGAATTTCAAAAAATTCTTTTCTTCCGATATTTACGAAATATAATTTAAGTTTAAAATCAATAAATTGACAATCTATCAGTGAGAATATCAACAAAACAAAACGCTTATCCTAGATAATTGATAAAAATTGTTTTTTACAATTTTCATCCCTTCAAGAATTATTGGAGAGGATATTTTTGTCTACGTTTCTGAATTCTATAAATATTTCATCGTCATACCACGGCACAAATCCTCGATATTGAAAAGAATTTGTTATTGAAAATGATTTCAAAATAATATTCCTATTTGGCTTGTAATTTCTGAATAATGATCGTGATTAGATCCATGTGACTATCGCATCACGCTGACTTGACGAAAATTTATGTCAAGGCTTTCTCTAGCAACTTCTGTTGTTGAGAAAGCCGATTTGTTTGACAAATTTCTGTCCATTCTTCCTTATTGAATTTAAGTGGTCAATTTTCTAAATTAGAATGAATGAATATCACTTAAATACCCAAAATCTTTCATAATTTCAATTGGATTATCAAAATAAATTTCATATCAAATGAATAAAAGCTTATTTATGTTCCGTATATAAACAAAAATTTAACTTTAAGAAATAATCGATAAATGCTACAACATAACAGCATAAAAATCCATGCTCAACTTAGATTTATGTTCATATTGACCTCGCAATGTAATCCCATAAATTTAATTAACGAATAGAATTTCATTGTCCTCTAAAAGTATGACGTTGCTCTAAGCCATTTAACTAAACTAACTAAACTATTGTCTCATTTTCACAAAGCCAACAACTTTTCTTAGGAACAAATATTTATTAGTATCATGAACATTACAATTTCTAAAGAATATTCAACAAAAGTTTTTCCTTCACTTTGACTTGACGCAGCATTAAGTATTAAAGAGTGAAAAAGTTTTGTGTTGTACTGACTCAACTGATGTCGGATGTTTAATTAAACAAAGTAATTAGGCAACAAAAGAGTTTGAACCCATCACATTCGTACGAGACAATAACTAATTAAATATGAAATGTCATCGTTACACTGATGAGGCGTCATCAACTACAGCAGTTAAAGAATTTCTTGGTTAAGACAGTGGTTAATAGAAAATATTTTTATCATCAGCAGCAATTACAACCAATTAAAATTAATTCTTTTTAAAAACTTTTCCCTCCTTATTTTTCTGTAAAAATCATTTTAAATTGACGCAGACGTTTATTGAATGTTTGAGATATTCCGTGAAAGAAGAAGTTCAATTAATTGAGATAATTCATAAATTTCTAATTCTTAACAATGTTTTCATATATTCATAAGAAACTGCCTCGAATGTCTGTCATTTTACGCAATGAGGGAGGAAGTTTGCGTTTAAAATTTCAGCAAATTTAAATTTATTGCACAACCAATAGACGAACGAGAATTTTTATCTAATTAAATGTTCGTTCTCTTTCTTTTCATTCTGGAAATTGAATATAAAAGAACATTAATTAGAGCAAGTTTTATTGCTTCATTTAACGTTTGATGCTTGCTTGTGAAATCATCTTTGCGAAGTGTGAGCGATAAACTATAGAAATTTTTGATTGTTTACGAGGAGAATCGTGTTCTATGTACCAACGCCCATACTGAAATCATTTTATCAACTAGATAAATATATATTATACAACAACATACAATCACACTTTCGATATTACCTACTACTGTACGAAACATATGAAGCTTGAATGATTCAAAACTTGCGATTTTTCAACTCGCAAAATCTACATGAGAAAAGAAAGAAAAAAAGCGATCCAAATGTCGAAGGAAGATGGAATGAAATGAAATTTACATAAACGATTTCTATCTCTTCCCTCACCAAAAGGCTTGTTCTCTTCTTTACGACATATGTGAGTTTTGCGTCTTGAAAAATTTGTTTTTTTTAGGAAATCATATGTAGCAAGATCGCAAGTTGATAACTGAAATTTAGAAAATTGCGCAACAAGAAACCTAAACCATTCATTCAAGAGACTCTCGAGTGATAAATATTTTTAAATGAAATACAAACATGACACGATTCTTTAAATGTTCTGGAATGAAGTCTTTGCTTTTGGAAGTCTCTTGACTCATCAATCAAGCTTTCTGAATTTGATGAATTCTCCCACTTGTCTCATCAATTCACAAAGCAAAACAAATAACTTCAGATGATGTCGATGATATGAAATATAAATAAATCTTATGCTTCTAAATAGAAAACGAAATCTTCGACATTTCATTGGAAGCGAGTAGCTTAATATAAAATACAAACATTCAATATTGAATAAAGTTTCTTTCTTCAAACTCGTGATCAAAACGAGATCATGATCAGCACTATTTCTGGTCGAGAGAACATGATTTATTGACGAGAGCATGATAGTTTTTCTAACTGACTTTTAGTTTAATAATCATTGGCATCATGAGAATGCCAAGAGAAACGTAATGGGGACGACATTTCGTTGCACACGGTCTAACGACTGACTAACGACGATAAATATTATGCGTGTTGCCGCTGGAGCCGAATATAAATTGGATTTCATTTCTTTTTGTTTCGTTTCTTCAAATAACATAATAAAAGATATTTTCTCTCTATTTTTATTCATAAAAATTCTTTTCGGAATGGTTGAGAAGAAATTTTTTCTTTTTTTTTTGAAAGGAAATTTAATGTGAATAAATTTTCTTCCTACTAACAAGCTTTTCAAAGTGTTCAAGTTAATAAAATAAATCCACAAACGGGGGCGTTGTGTTGTAAAGCATACTATAATTAATGTTTATTTTCAAGTTAATAACAATTAATAAAAATTCTTAAATGTGATCAATTCATGTTACCGCGTTAGCACCGGCAACATAAACACGATTAACCTTTTGTGTTATGAACGATTTTAATCTGAATTGGAGCTCACTAAGCCGACCTTTAAACATTGTTTTTTTGATAAATGTGAATAAATGTATAATTATGAACTTCCTTTCGTTAGCTCTTGCTTGTTGATACATTTTATTCTTCCTCCGTCAACGAACTGTTTCTTTTTCTTTCTTTCAATTTATTTCTACTTTGTCGCATAACTCGCTTTGGTGTTGCTTTAAGAAAGAAGTAGCAATAAATCTTACACGTAAACGACCTTCGTCGTTTTCTAACTTGTTGTACGGATGTAAAGGCTTTTAATTATCATGTCAGTGTCATCTTGACAATGATAATGACTCACTCACTTAATTCCTTTCCTTTTCTTGATCGTTATCAATCTTAAATGGATTAATCTTTGTGAGTTTTTTATAAATTACATCTCAAATTGTTAATGCAGTTATGAGAAAAATGACCAAAATAATGACAGCACGTTTGAGAGATTGACATTTTCTGAGAAATGTCGCCAATGTAATTGAATTAATTAAGTTAATTGAACGTTTGGTGGTTGTTTTATAAATTCTTTGACTGTTGGCTTTTATCATAATTCATTGTAGTTATGCGTAATCAAGTGAGTTAATTGAAATTAAAATCGTTCTAAGCGGGACTTTCTTCACTTCCGTTTCAAGAAGAAAAATCATTTGAAGGCTTCTAATAGAAATAAGGCAATTTGAGATGATTTCCGATCATAATTGAACAAAAGACTTTTTAAATATTGCGCTTTTCCATGCTCTTAATTTACCACTAAACATCAAAAGCGGTTGCGATGCAAAACAGAGCAGAAAGTGAAGTTAGAAAGTAAAATACAATTTTTCCAAACAGTTGTCATTAAATTTTCAAGTTGTCATTCATAAATTAACAGCAAAGGCTTATCAAAGCATATAACTTGCGTTTTAATGCCTTCGAAACGTGATGTTTGTCAGTTACTGTTGGGTGTTCTGCCGCATGCAATTAAAGTTTTTCCCGTAAAATAAATTTTCGTTTCACTTTTCCACGACTTTCTTCCTCCCCCAACCTTTTAAAAACGCGACATATAAAAATAGATATTTTATCGTGGACTTAATTCATAAAAAATAAGAAGAAAAAAAAAGACTAAATACAAAACACGCTAATAGCTTTATGGAAATGCTTTAATAATAGCATTCTGGTTGTTTTATCAAGCACACTAGCATATGTTTTTGACTCTCTCACTCGTTGTTTTCGCTTCAAACCAGGAGTGAGTAATTTTAAGAACCACCGAACCGTGAAGAACTCGAGAACCTTTTTTTTACCAAATGAACGTGGAAATGCGATTTATTTCCGTGTAAGACTTCAATATGAAATTTGAGGCAAACAAATGGTCAATGGTTTAGTCATTGGAACAACATGGAGAGTATGGTTTCACAATTTACGTTGACCATCTAAATTTATGTTCTACGAGGTGGCCAACAGTGCAGAGGAAGAAATAAATTTATAGAAATCGCTTCTATTTTTATGGGATTGTTTTTAATCTTAAAATAATTGCTCACAAGAAATGGCAGTTGAACTGTGATTCGACGGAGTTTATGTCAGTGTTTCTGCTAGACAATTACATTTCATTGAACTTTCCCTTCTCGAAGACAAGCAATTGTCTTTTATTTGTTTTAAAAGTGTCTTCCATTATTGGAATCATGTCTCGCTTCATCTTGACAAACGAAATGAAAGAAAAGCAAACCTTTAAAGTGAAAGACAATTTAAGATTCATTTCTGCAGGGCATTCAATTGACTCGACAAAAGACTGACTCGAAGGGACTCAAGAAGCATTTCAGTTCGATGAACTTCTTCAAATAATTCTGAATTTAATTTCATCATCATCGAACTTATTTTTGAAATTTCTCATGTTGATTATGTCAGCGTAATTACGAAAACTCGTCACGAAAAATGCATGAAAATATGACAAGATCTGATCGTGCTACATAAGAGAGCACTGCTGTTTGTTCAGCTTGAGCGTCAATATGCCGCACATTCTTTTTCGACTCGTCAAACGACTCATTATGATGAGAACCGTCGACAATTAATTTCTCCATTCTTTAAACTTGCACGACCTCAAATATTTGAACACGAACCTTCTAAAGCTTGTCTAAAAGCGTGAAAAATGTATTCGATGTTATGTTAACTTTCTGGTGTGATAATTCTTTGCGCAAATATCGCATTAAAATGTTTTAATCCTCTTTAAACTTACTGAATGGATCTAAACAACGAACATAGGGATTCTCGTTGTTTATGTTTCCTAACTGATTTATGTTTGCCTTTCACTTCCAACAAATTATTCGTGTCGGATTTTAATGCTTTGTTGTGTCTCCTTTGGGACGGAAAATGTGCTTTTTTTAAACTTGATGCTTCTTGTTTGTTCTTGATCGAAGACAAAAATGTAATCAAAAGTGACTGTTTAAAGGGAAAGGGGAATTTTAGTATCTAAATCATTTGCAGTTAGCGATCGTTCCTTAAATCAATCAAGATTTAAAATTTATACTTTACAGACATATCAAATTATTTCAACTCAACCACGAACCCTTTGTGATGTTTAAGAAACGAAATAAAACAATATTCTTTTTTCATGACGTCTGCTTTTTATTTTCATGTAACAAATGAACTCTTCAACTCTTTCGAACAACTCACATAAATGTGGGGGGAAAGAAAGCAAAAGAAAAATACGCATTGAAACGTTTGTACAGGTGCTGTGGCAGTAATGTGAATAATAGCAAGGGCTAGCTTACTTCCTCGTTTGACTTTTTCTTCTTTTCACGAAAATAAAAATAAGAAGTTTCCACCATAAATCAGATCGAAGCAATAAATTCATGCTTAAGGAAAGAAAGAAAGAAAGAACGAAGCAGCAACAGAGGAAAATGAAATGAAACTCTATAAAGAGAGAAAGAAAATTGTTAAATAATTTATGTGAAAGGTTGTTGAAGAAAGCATGATGTAACGATTTTCGTGGAATGAAAAGAATTTTCCGTGGAAGAAAATTGCGTGCTGTGTAAGAGTTAAGTTCTAGCCACATGAGATTGCAATAAAAATAAAAAGTGTGCGAGGATGATAAAGATCTTCATGATTAACCTCAACACTTCTTGACGTCAGAATAAGTCTGAAAATTATTCGTGAAAGAGTTGAGGGAAAGGGGAATTAATTTTCCGTGTGTTTTAAGAGAGAAAAGTGAGAACACGTCTGATAGCTATTTATGTTTATTTTTTGCTTCTTAATAATCTGTCACACTTTGTTTTCAGTTCCTTACTTCATGTTGTGGTAACGTTATTTATACGTTTAACCACCGCTTTTCATCAGCAGCTTTCAAGTTCATGGGCATGTCGCAGAAAGATTAAGTATTCCATGCTTAACCAAGTGTAAGACGTTTCGCTTCAGAAGGCATTTAGCGTTAGTTTAAAGAGAATTAAATACTAAGGCGCTTTGAGTTACCGCCGAAAGTCGTAAAACCTTTTTTCATGATTAAATTCGATTACCGATCAGCGACGAATGTTTTCTTAAGAAATTAAAGCATGCAGCGACGAAGCATAAATTTTCTCGATCTTTTAATGAAAAGAAGAAAAACCACATGGAATATTCATTAAGAATTCTTTTTGCTACGCATTAAATGAGGCCCTTAGTGAGATTTCTTGTTGGTTTTTCAGCTTTACAAGAATTTTTGTTTCTTTTTCTACTTTTGCTTTCACGATTTCCGACAATAAACTGTGTTAAAATTCGATGTGAATTAAGAGCCATTAAAGTTTTAATTTTTTCTCTCTTACTTAGCTTTTGTTTACCCGCCTGGAAAGAAATTTAATTTCTAACATTTTTTTTTCATTAAATCTACGGTAGATCAGTTAACATGAAATTGAGAAGAAGAGAAGAAAATAAAGACAGCATAAAGTGGTCTTTTATGCTGCTACTCGATTGATGATACTTCCTTTGTCTGTGTAAGTTTCACTCATGGTATCCATTTTATTCAAGAAAAATGTTCATCAATCGTTGTTGAATTGTTTATAAAAAAAAAATAAAACAAACGCAATGTTCATTCCATCAGAAACATGTGCTGGTAGATACATAGATGAGATCGCGTACTTTTTTTTATTATTCCACTTCATCTTTCGTTTTTTATTCAACTCTTTAAGCTTGTATTGCAATGTTTTTGTCAGGTTTTTTCCATGTGTTATTCCTAAAACCGGTTTTTTTGATTCGCGCTGTTTCTCAGACACTCGTTTAGCGATCAACTTTTTTTAGCGAAGACATTTTTCGTTCCGAGTGAAAAATGTTGGGAAGAATCAAGCTGGATAATTGCTTGAAACGAATATGTCTTAATCTGTCTCTAATGTCGTTAATCCTAAAGTGGATTAAGAACTTTTCTTCTTAACATTCTTCTTGATTAATGCGGCAAAAGGTTTTCAAAAGACGGAAGGAAAATGTGGCTGCTTGATTACAACTGGTTGGAAAATAAACAAATTAAAACCACCACCAACCAGCAATCTAGTACCAAAATGCGGTTAAAAGATGTGTTACATTACCTTTTTGTTTGCTTATGAGTTATTCTTTCACGAAAACTTTCTATGCAATTTGATTTCAAAGTGTAATAATCCGTGATAAAATTTAACAACTTTCGATGTTTCCATTTCAGTTTATAAATTTGTTGAAAAGTTAAATGGTTATAGGCTAAAAGTTTCTTTGTAATTGTTCAGTTTCGTGATGTTTTCGTTTTCTTTTTCTCGTCTTCTAACAGCTTCTCAACTCAATTAGATACAAATATAATCTAACTAATTTCGAGAATTCTTTTTCCTTCCTTCCAAATGATCTTGAGATAATCAGCTTTATAAAAATTGAAGCCGAAACTTCTTAATTTATTCTACAAAATTATGTTCTCTTCTTAATTTATGAAATATCTAAACGGTTAAAGGTTTTAATAAAATAAAATCAGAGAAATATTGAAGATGAATAAAGTCATACAATAAATAGAACTTTTGGGAATTTTTTTTATTTATTTCACTTAAAAAATCGTGAACACTCCTTGACATTCAACTTCAAGAATTGTCTAAGGTTGAGTTGCTTCGTACTCATATTTGAGCAATCTTTAAATCTCAAAACTAATTTAAAGTTCCATTATGTCATTCTCAATTACCTTTTCAAAATAATTTTTGTAAGACAAAAAGAGGATTTTTTTTAATATGACGCATTGAATCTAAAAATATCTTAAAATCCGATGAATCATTTATTATTTATTAAAGTGACACAAGCTTTAACCAAACGTGACATAACATTCAGGTTATCCACAATGAAATAGAAATAAAAACAGAAAACAACAAACTTTGAGGTATTTTAGATGTCATTTAAATTTTCTCCATTTCTACATTCTGCAAATGTTAAGCCTTAATAGAAAATGGATAATTTCTTCTACAAATGTATCTCAAAATGATCCATTAAAGCTGTTCTTGGAATTAATTCTATTCTTTAAGAATGTAGCTATTGTGAAAAGAAACATAAACGAAACATATGCTATTATGTGTGAGTTTTCAATTTAATATCTAATTGATACGATGTAACTTGAGCAGATTCATTCATCCCGAGTTTCAAATTCTCAAATGTGAATGAAATTAATCAAAAATTGTTGTTATATTTAACTTGGCTTTCTCGTCTTTGAATAACTAATTATGTTGTTCAGATTTAGGTTTCTTGTGTGGAATGAAAATTTGTATCAAATAGAAATTAATGATGAGGTTTTGTTTGAGGTTTAAATATCTTGTCAAAGATAAGCTCGCTTCCTATTCAACTTTAAAACGAAAATCTTATCACAATTTCAATCCATTAGAGCCTTCATAAATAATTCTAGATTATCAAGAACTTTTTCATCATAAACCTAACTTTATTTTCATTTTAAATTCAAATTCATGTTAATTTGCTAGCAAGAAAGTTTTAATTAGTAGCTTTTACTGTGACGCACAAATATTATCTTTTCCGTGATGTGCATTTCATAAAACTCTTGCGACATTCCATCTCGTGCCGAAAAGACTCCGTTTCAGCGAAGGGGAAGTTTTCTTTTCTAATCCTCTTTGGTCGTGCCTTCCTTCATTGTCTTTGAAAGGAAATTGCAACGTTATTGCTTTCATTTTCCTTTTGTATTTTATAATTTTCTTTAACATTAAATATTCAAGCTTGAAACCAATAAAGGAAAGGCTCAAGAACACATAACAATTATTTAATTTTTTTTGGAAGACTGCCAATGAAACAATGAAGAAATGAAAAATGTCTGCAACCCTTAACCTGAGGCCGATCATTTAATTTTTTGTCCCAAAAATAAAACAAATTGTGATTTTAGCTAGTTTAGCTTCACCATGGGTTTGAATTTTACTTTTTACTTGTTCACCCAAATTCTAAAAGAAAAAATTGATTTTCATCCGAACGAAACGAAACAAAGCCAACCAACGCAAAGACGAAACCAACAAAATATTCAGCCAAAAATTGGTTATTCTGACCTCAATTTTACGTCCAATAATTCTCATTTGCTTCTTTGACTTGTTTTGTTTGAAATAAGAACTGCTGTGTCTGTTTTTCTCACATCAGTTTAAAACAATATTTTGAGAAAAAATGTTTGCGATAATCTCCAACTTTGATGATTTAACATGTCACTAGAGCAATAAATCATTATTACATCTGGTTCAGATCTCATCTAGTAAAAAACCAGAATTATGCAAATGTGCATAGCATTCGGTGCAATGAGGTGAACTTTTCCTTTTTCATCATAAAAATTTATGAATAAGCGTAAATGAAGTTCACCTAAAATTAATTAGCTAACCCCAGTGAATATTTTTTCTACTTAAAGTGCCACTTGACCACAAAATTTCAGTAAATTTTAATCTCATTTCCTCACGTTTGTTTTCTTTTCAAATGCTCTCATATTTTATTACTCAAAATAAATAAACTGTTCCAGTTAAAACAAGAAGTGCAAATTGTGCACTTTAAAAATAAATCATTTAATTATGATGATTGAAATGGTTAAAATTTGATTTCACCGTTCAAAATTTTCACCGCTTCGTCAAACTTCTTCCGACACTTTTAAAATTCAAAATCATTACAAACAAAACTTTTATTTTAATTGCAGTGAATCAAAACTACAATGATCGTCAATATTTCAGTAAAGTCTAAAAAAATTTAAATTGATAGAAAATTGACCGCGAATGGAATGTTGATGATCAAATTTAATAGTTGAATGAATTCGAGAAGAGTCTTTCAACTTCCTGGAATCGGTTACAAAGACCGATCAGGTGCTTTCCCATCGTCATTATCTTTTGATCTTCTTCCTGCACTCCAAGCGCAAACCAATTATCTCGTCGAATTATGTTTAAATATCCTTTTGAATGGTTTCTTTATTTCAAGTGAGTGTGCCCTTTCCTGGGCGTACTTAATTGATATTAACATCCCTTCAAAACCGTTAATTGCAAAATACGATACAGGAAATTCTACACAGTCTTCCGATGTCAACGGAATATTTATTTAGTCGAAAAAATATCTGCTCATGTTACACAACACTTTTCTTCCTTTCTTAGTTACGTAACTTGTCGAAATGAAGCCAAAAGTTTTTCGTTTTTATTCAGCGATAGTTTTCATGTTAATTTTTTTCCACTTTTATTGAACAAAAAAATATTCAAGACAGAATGAAGTCCTACAAATTTTTTTCAGAAGCTCAAACTCACCTGCGACAAATCTGGATCGTCGCTAATTTTTTCCAATAGAGTTTTCGAGTATATTTCGCTGATCGATATGAGCAGTACGAAGGTCACCATAAACTTCATTGCCATTTTTTTCTGAGCTTCTTTTTGCTTTTAATATCTCACAATTTTTATTCTTTTAGTGTCGCGTGTTCTATAAATAACGGGTCACAATCAACTGCAAGCTTAAGTTGCGAATCTTTACAGATAAATATTTATTTCCAGATGTAATCCAATGCACGTTTTAGAATGAATAACCGTTAAAAGCTTTTTTGCATAAATATTTTTTAACACGTAAAGATCTTTAAATTTAACACTTTTTTCCTTTGTTTCAAGAAATGTTTTTATTTAAATGAGATTTAGTTTGATTTTTATCCAACTGCAATCTTCGGATGAGAAATGCTAATTGCATCAATTACTTTTAATCTAACTAGATTTATGGTACCAGCACTACACTCAAATGATTTCTCAATATTCTTTATTTGAAGCTTCCAAAAAAGCAAACGAACCGTTGGACAGACGAAAGTTGAATGAAGCTTCGGTGAACTGAACACCACAACGTTTCGTTTCAATGTTGCAACGTTTGATGTGGTAATGTTTTCATGTTGAATGTTTTTGTGCATTAAAAAAATTCATTACGTCATCTTCTCATTTTGTTTTGAATTTTTTTGGTGCCTCATTTCTTCTTCATTGAATTTTTTTTGTGTCTGGGTTTGTACAAACAATGTTTTATTGATTCATAAAATTTTGCGTGATGTTCTACGGAAGTTTCCAATTTTATTCTTTCATCATATCAAATACACCGAAACCTGTTTAAGAATATTTTGTTCTCATCCTAAGACAGCAACAACAAATTAATGCGGTAGCAGTGACGTTTTAACTGCATTCATTTTAATGCGGTAAAACGAAAATATGCAATTTGCAGATGAAAGCATTAACGACAGTAATTTCCAAACTTTTGCAGAATTCAAACAGAAAATAATGTGCAATTTATGTTTTTCATACTGTTGTAACATCATGTTCATGATAATGATGGCAGTCATAAATGGTTATTAAATCCCTTTATGTTTTTTAAAATATCTAACCAAATTTTTTTTTCAAATGAATATATATTTTACAACAAAGATAATATCAGATTTCATTAATGGTTTTTTAAGTTGAAACAAACGCAAAATGTGTAACTTACAATGTTCCGTTTTCAACTATGTTCCGATGAACTTCATACATT